GTTGGTTGGTTGATTTGCTGGTTGGTTGGTTGGTTAGTAGGTTAGTTGGTTAGTTGATTTGCTGGTTGGTTGGTCAGTTGGTTGGTTGATTGGTTGTTTGGTTTCCAGAAGGATCATTGGGGTGGATTTAGGAATTTTTTTAATGACTTTCTTGAACATTTTCCTACTGGGAATAATTCATGGGTTATAAAATTTCAGGTACATTTAGGTGACTAACATCTATGAGTCTGTGCAATTTAGTGCAGCTTGATTGAATTGAAGGGACTTTTGGGCTTTTGCAGAGGTCTGCTCTGAATGCCATTCTGGTTTGTTTGTTTTTTGGCTTTGTTTATTAAAACTACTAAATGGCTTTCCAAGAAACTTGGCTGGAGGATGGAACATGGAACAAGAAAGAACCCATTCCTTTTTGGCACAGATACGGACACCAGGAATCCTTAATCCCTTTCTTTCAAATGAAAGATCGGGTGGAGATATGCACCCTCCTTGCACTTTCCAGTTTGTATCTGGATCATTTCTTTGACAGCGTTTGACAGATGACAGCGAAGCTGCAGACAGGAAACATGTGGAGAATGCAAGCGAGCAGACGTGTTGAACACAGGTTCAAAGGGCACCACCACGAGGCCTCAGAGACGCCTTCATTTACAGGTTTAAATATCAGCACCAAGTTTTAACACTCCCATGCTTCATTTCTGAAATGGACAATTTAATGGCCTGAATGTCCCCTAATGACTGCTCTGCTGGGCCTAAGTGCACCTCTGTGAAAAGGGGGTGGTGACCTTTTCTAATTTACACTGGCTCCTTCAAGTCTGTGTACAGCAGCGACCCTCGTACAATTAGTTTGTTTATGTTGATTTAATAGCTCAGGTGCCGCTGGTAAAGACCGAGCAGGGAGAGCTCTTCATGGTTTTGAACCTTTTGAGGGATATTTCTTTGACCCCATTGACCACCTCCATCATGTGCACATCTGCACACAGCAGCTGCACCTTTGTGAAAGTGGTGTTTTTTAATATTGCTAGGTGATACTGGAGGAAAAACCTGGCTGCATTAGAAACGTGGTAACACAACAAACCAGTACACAAGAGTTTTTATGTTTTCTTGTTTCCTAGCAGTAAATGAAGTGTCAGTGAATTTACTATAATGATGATATCTTCTACCATCAGTGTCATTCTTTGAAAAAGCCATAACAAATACAACAAACAAATACACAACTGACAAAATGAGCACAGGAACACAGGAACATGTGGAGACTTCCCATTTTTAATTTGCTTCATTTATGGGCCCCCTGGTGGTTGTGGGGCCCCAAGCAGCCTTGCAATTCATTGATGCCTCAAGCAAGTTATGCAGCCAATTGTGAAGTGAAGCATATGCCCCTCTATAGTTATCATTCAGATTATTCTACAGGTTACATTTGCCTCCTGAGACTCATATACTCTAAATCCTATGTCTCATCTTCCACACTTATTCACAGTGAGTGGGTTTATATAAATCTGGTTATGTATAGCACACACTCATTTGATGTATTTTTGTGCACATAGTGAGATGCACGTACATGAGTACATACAGTGTGGTAATGTGGTTGCTGCTGACATTTGCACATTAAGCACATTCCATTTTACAAACCTCAACTACCGCTCCACACAGGCATCTTATACCAGTACATGTACAACGGTTACATACATTTTATTTGCCTTTGCCATTACTTGTGCTCTGTCATTTGTCTTTTCCTCGTGTTGTGTGTACTTGTACTTGTATTTAGGGTTAAATACAATTGGGCACAATCTGATCCAAAGAAAAGCAATTTTTAAGTTACACAATACGACACAATGTTATTCCCTCTGCCAAAGAGATGATGTTTTCATCTGTGTTTGTTTGTCTGTCTGTCTGTTGTTCACGGATCATGCAAAAACTATCCTGGAACTTGAAAGGATGTGGTATCGGTCAGAAAAAAACCATTATAATTTGGTGCAGATTCAGGACTTTTTGTTACACTTTCTTTTAAGTTGTGAAAGAGAAGATTTTTCTACATTTTGCTTGATTTCTCAGCGATTAATTCCTGGATCATGATGTAAAAAAACAACAATTTACATGTGATTTCATGGGAAGACTGTTTGGCCTTGGAGGAGGTGTGCAGTCCTTTAGTGCCATGAAAAAGTTGGACACATGAGATTAATTTGGGAGCTGTGATGTAACGAGGATATCAGGATTGTGGGTTTTTTTCATAGAAAGCAAAACAACATGGAAGTGTCTAAGAAGTGGTGAAACTCATCAAGCAAACATCTCCAACGTGTAGCTGGACAGTCTTGTGCCTCCTGTGTGTAAAACCTCTGGAAGTTTCCTCCAGCTTTATCTTGCACAACTGAAACTAATGAGAAACACGCACCAAAAGAAACCTGCAGTTTATGTTCTTGAGAACGTTACCTCAGCCAAGGTCAACTTGGCTTTCTCTGTTACTGTAGTCCCCAATTTTTGTATTTTTCTAAAACCTCTTGAACTTGGGAACCGATGAACTATTCTTTCCTGCACTCTAGTTGTAGCTGCTCTCGCAAAATAAAACAGACATTCATGCAGCTGTTCAAAAACCATATGAAAGTGATGAACACAAACAGCCTTTGTGGTGTCTCATGTGTACAAACTGATACCACAATGAAATGTGAAAAACATGTTTGAAGTATGTGCACACATGAAACAATCTTACACATTTCTTATTGTCAAGCATTTCCAAATAAGCAGCCCTATAGTCACAGTCCTGGCTGCCCATGTACGTATTTTAACTTAAATCTACATGTATATCAAAAAGGATGTGGGAATATGTAGCAAAGTCCATGTACAGCCTCATAGATTTTATCCTCTGGGCAGAATCCTTCATCTGGCTTCACATCTTCATTTCATTTCCTGGAGTGCAGCTAGAAAAAGATATCAAATGTCAAATCACTTTCATTCCATGAACCCCGCAGCGGCATCTATCCCGTGCACGCCCACTAGACGGAGACACAGCGAGGTACATGTTAAATGCAGGAGGGCTCACAGAACAACTCCCTGTGGGGGCAGGTTAAGGACGTTTAGGGGCAAAGAGGGAAAGAGAGGAAATGTATGTGAGCTGCAGGTGAATGTGGTTCACTGATCTGGGAGCAGAAGCATCTCCTCTTTTAACATTTCCTGCTGAAATGTGGTGGAGTCAAGAAATGAATGAAATCCAAATCATGACTTCAATATCTAAATAATAACCCCCAATACCTCCAATACCTAAATCATTTTCTCCTGATAAGATATGAACATTATAAGTAAATACAATCACTATTGAATACAAGTGATGATGGTGGAGGAAGTAGATTGTAGAGGATTCCATTAAATATAGTACAATTTACCTTAAAGCAAGTTATATTTATATTTTACTCACTATGCAGAATAGTAATAGTAATATTACAGTATTCTTACTGGTGCATTTATATGTACACATGTTATTAGATTATCTAATATTTTGACACAAATTATGCTGCTATTGATATACAATCAATGCTAAGTCGGTATTTCCCTTATGAAACCACAAGTAAATCCACGAGATCTGGATTTTTATTTTAATCTGCTCCAAATTGCTCACACTCATAATATCAGTCCTGTGAACATGCTTGACTTTTTTCATCAAGATCAATTGATTATTCTCTAGGAAATAAACTAACTCAGGTCTGCACTAAAATTTAATAGCAGACACTTTCCCCTTTGACATATCGTGAGTGGAGGTTAAGTGGCAGATAAGCCAGTGGGTTCATTCAGGAGGATAAACCCCTTGAGATGAACTATCTTCTTTGAAGGCATCCTAAAACATCTTAGTTAATTTAAACAGTTTAATCAACACAAGTTTCTTTAAATTCTGGTCAAAAAACTCAACAATCATGACACGACTCGTCCGAGACATATTTTAAATCCTTTTAATATATCTCACATTTGATTTATTTACAAAAAAACTGTGGCTTTGTGACATAAAACTATGTTTTGTAAACTCAACATGAGAAACATATAAGTACCGGTAGCGTAACCATACAGAACACATACATAGATAAATAACATCAGGGGAGCGCTGTGGCCGAGGTGGACCTCTGTGCACATTGTCTCTCTGCAAACAATAAAAGGATCACAATGTATGTACCTCTGTATGATCGGCTGTGTGTTACTTCTATTACCCCAAGTTTGGTCTGACAGGGTTTTACAGTATTGCCTCTGTGTTGGTTAAAATGACATCAGTCTATCAATAGATCTGGAATGTGTTTTCTATCTGTGTTGACTATTGAATATGGGTTTCTCCAGCAGATTCCAGCAGCGGGAACCCTTGGATGTGAACGTCTCCAGGCATTCTGTGAATAAACTATGAGCAACAACAACATACTAATGCAGATATACTTGGATATATACCTGACACACAATGTCCGCAACAGTTTGGCACAAATGTAAAGGCTGAGCATTTAACTTCCCCGCAGAACACAATAAATAAATGAATAAAAGCTCCAGTCACACACTAAAAACGCCGACATGAAGGCCGATAGATCGTCTTATTTGCTGAATGGTTACTTTTTTTTTTTTTTACAGCACTTTACAGAACAGCTACAGGCACAAACTGAAAGAAATGAAAGAAAGCTGAGTTTTGCATTTCAGTGTGAGGCCAGAAGGGGAAACCAGTGACTCCTTAAAGTTTAATCTGTGCATTTGAATAATTTCTGGACCATTTTCAGCTGAATTCAAATAAAGTGTTTGACAGCAGAATCTTTATCTGTGGTGTTTTCTACCCTTATTAATCACTGGGCGACTATGCAAGTGTGAGGGTGCATGTGCATCTGCGTTAAGACAAACTCATTACATTGACTATACTCCACTAATACTGCAAAACCAGAATAAGAGCAGTGATGGCAACACAGAGCAGAACAGAGAGAACTGAATGAAAATATCACATTTAGATCGACGATAACAGAGGAGCCTCTTTTTCTTCTTTTTCTCGACACAGTGTAACAGGTTGGTGAAACCTTATACGTAGCTTATAGAGCAGGCGTATACTGTACAGATCCCGAAACAAAAAAATTATACTTCTCGATACTCTTTTTTTAGTTTGAGATGAACGGCAACACTGAAAGACGGAACACATTGAACGAGAAGACAAAAAAAAAACATAAAGACCTGACTCAAAATAATCCTCTGTGACAGACAGCTCGCATTACTTCTCAGTGAAAGACACAAATTCACACACAGACAAATTATACCCGACAGCATGCTTCATTAAATAGCACTTCAGAAAAACCCCTTCTCATAATCCACATTCTTCACCCGCCGTTTAATCACTCGCTGTTGTTTTCCTCCGAATGCTTAAAGAGTTTCATCCCAAAATGAGACAAATCGACTGGTGAAATGAAAGTAAATGTACCACTTCAGATGGTCCTATTAAAACTTTACGACGAGCAGCTTGAAAACTTGATCCATGATAAACAGCATTTTAGAATGAAACCTTTCCTTTCTGCCTTTAACTTCTCATCATTAAAGGACATCCCCACCGCATTTCACCTGGAGGAGCTCTGCGGTCCCTGAGCACCGGCCGTCATTGCACATAAACATTTTCAAAATTCCCTTATTAACTAAATAAAGCTATCAAAGCATTTCCTACTTGCTCACGACTACCGCACATCCTCACATACCGTGTTAAGTGTTCATTTTGCAACTCACAATGAAAACGCGACGCCTAATTCATGACTATTAAACATCCTGAGGTGCTTCCCTACACTTGGAACAATAAATACTGAGGCTACCAGCTATAGTCAGGAGGCACCGTGCTGCGTCGAGTGTTAACAATGCCCTTCAGGTGAGTCAGTTAAGTTTTCATTAGGAGGAAACTTCAGTGTAGCCCCTCGGTTTTCTCTTAACCGCACAGCCCTCTTATTTGCAAGGGTGGCTCGCTGAGAGCACAGTAGCAGCAGTAGTACAGTGTGTGATTCAGCGAGTGTGTTTACATGCACGTACACAGTATTCTGGAGACAGGCCCGTACTGTATTTTTCTGCTTGAGGTCAGAATGGGGATCAGACAAGCACTCAGAACTTCCACTGGAACGATGGGAACAGCTGGACAGACCAAACGATTCTGTAAATGTCCTTGGTATCCTGGTGATGGCTGCTACTACCAGTTATTTTCATTACCTTTTATTTTCTTAAATCATTTCTTTTGAACGATTGAAGGAGTAGTTCAACATTCGGGGAAATATTTGTAGAGAGTTAGATGAGAAGATCGATGGGACTCTCATGTCTGTAAAAGGTCGATGTGAGACAACAGCCTGGAGCCAGTTTAGCTTAGCTTAGCATGGACAGAGAAAGCAGGGGCTGGCTTTATAATGAAGCACAGAAACGTTTTTTGGTGGGGGGGAGTTATGTAGCCTGGCTGGTAGACTCAATGAGACAATGAGACTTGTGCAAGGCCAAGGAATGTAAATCAATCAAGATCCAGGAATTATTCTCTGAGGAATCAACAGAAATGTAAAGGAATCTTGAAATGTTAAAGAAAGGTTTAAGGGTGTTTCCCTCAAGCATATCACAAACTACCACTAAACTTCGTGGTAATCCGTCCAGTAGTTTTTGTGTAATCGTGCTCACTAACAAACAACACAAATGAAAACAGAACCTCCTCGGTGGCGGTCAGAGTTCAGTGTTTTGTGTGACCGAGAGTCCAAAACAGTGTAACCCTGATTTTAAACTCACTCTGATACAAGACGTCAGATGTAACATAAACTGTATATTGTACATGGTCCTTTAAATGAAAATTAATAAAAGATTTCAAGCAATCATGTTGTTGCTCACATGCAGTAACTGTTCTAACTCTCAGTTTCCAGTCTGAGCCAGTCAGCCGACTGCGTCCTGGCTCCAGCCGAACAGACAGACAGGAGCATTTTCCCCGAAACGTTGAACTATTCCTGAAAGTGAGACTTGACAGCATCGCACTCCAAAACAACGGATGGTGCAGTAAACACACTCAGCATGAACTCTGAGGCAGGACTCTTCTGACACTGTCATCATAAACCTACAAAGAGCTGGCATAGCATGGTGCAGTACCTAAATCCAGACATGAGTGCAACTTCATGCAAAAAGAATAAATTAAAAACAAAAAGAAAGAAATAAAGAGCTACTCGCACTAATCATACAAAAGCAATGACGGGGAACATGTTGTGAAAGAGGGTCATCTCGCTCCATGTCGGGGGGGAGGGCGTATCCGAGGTCATGTGACTTACAGTATTTATTTTTTTTACACAGAATGACCTGCTGCAGTGGAACAGTAGGGGGGGGGGATCACAGCAAGCCATTCCTTATAGCAGTCATGAGGGAGATCGTGGGTACTTACAGCAGTTTTTTTGTTTACAGGACGACACACACACTCGCTAATTAAACACATCTTGCTACCTGCAAGGTGTGAAGAGACACTTTTTTTTGTTCACATAGTGAAATCCTGTAGATTACAGCATGCATTACTCTACGTGCTACTGCCAGGGTTCTTGTTGTTGTTGTTGTTGATACCAATTCTTCAAACTTGATGACTCTATGTCCTTACAGGATGGGATGGTGCTTTCTTTCCCTTCAGTGCCTCTGTAATCTCACTGTGCCTGGACACACACACACAAACACACACAAACACACACAAATTTAGTATTGCTGCAGACTGCACACCCGGGATAAATTTGTTAAAAATATGTGTATATGACTCTGGAGCAATGTGGCTCAAGTCTTTACATATTCTTTGCTTTTGGATGCAGAGGTTGCAGCAGCAGCCCCCATTATAAATAAGTGCCAAAGTATATTAGTGTCTACAAAGGTGCCGGGCAAATATTTAACTCTACAGACCCGATAATAAAGTATATAGTTGAATGGTAACTATGTCTCATTCATGTACTTTAGGCAGCTTGTTTTCTATTAAAATTATTAATTGCCATAATTTTGCCATAATTTTATTAAATCACATTATCTCAAGGTCACGATATTAATTATCCTGTTATCTCGTAAAATCCGTAATTTTTTTCATCTATTATCTTCTTATCTTGACTCAATAAAGCTGCAGTAGGCTTCAGTTGAAAAAAGAGAGGATTCGTGTGTTTATGTTTTGTTCAATCTTAATGTTCGGCACAAAGATTTCTTTGTTCAGCTTTTGAGTGGTTTTTATTTAACGGTATTTAAAACAACTGGCTTTGACAGGTTCGATTATAAAACGATTGTATTCACTTGAACCTGGACTCACCTCTGTCCCCACCGTTCCTCATGTTGGCCTCCTCTTCCTCTCCCACGTCGTCAACTTTAAAAAAAATAAAATAAAACCCCAGATTTCAGTGACAATGTTTTTGTTCGCTTTGTTAAAGACTTAAAAAATATCTGGGGACACATATCAGATGCAGGTGTAAGAATGACAACAATTTCAGAGAAAGATAAATTCTTTAATAAAGACTCAAACCCAAGAAACAAAAGAGGATAGAATCCAGATGTTAAAACAGGCTTTTGTCATAAAACATGTGTTGTGGACTGACCTGAGTGCAGCTCTTTCACCAGAGATGACATGGTGTTTGTGATTGAATCAGCAGCAACTAATAAATCATTCCGAAGGTTTCTAGGTACACCTGGGGAACAGACACATGTCAAAATCTGATTAGAAACACGTGCAGGCTCTAGTTCTGCAGTGAAACCATGTGAAAGTGTAAACAGGCAGAGGCGGCTGAAGTGCAAATTGTTAACTTATGTTCACTGAGCACGATTCCAAAATGCTACTGAGGTCTTCCTCCCACACCGACATTAATTACTCAGGACGTTATACATTTTTGCATGAGATTGCAATGAATGTTTTGTTTCAGGTGTCGGTTTCGACTCACCCTGAGCGAAGGCCTCGAGCACGTCCCCTCCCACCCCTGCCAGGCAGTCCTGCGGTGTGTGGGTTGGGGTGGAACCAGCTGAGGTGGAGCGTATGGGCATGGGCATGGAGCAGCCTGCGCCGTGACTGGGGGAAGAATGAGGAGAGCCTCCGGACTGGGACTGCAAGAAAATAAAAGTTACAGCATCATTAGCAGAGAGCTGAGTCTTTAGCATCATTAGCAAAGAGACTGCACAACGCCACAGTATCCACAGTCAAACATTAGAAAGAACTCCTGCACATTTTATACACATACTTCAGGAATGGACAAATTACGCAACAACACAACCTTGATTTCTAAATCTATACGGCACAATTTAGAAAAAACAGCCTTATATATAATATTATTTCTACTTATTGTACATAGTATTTCTATTTTCTTACTTTATTTTTCCTCCTGCGCAAACTACTTCCTCAACTTCTGTGTCATCTGTGAATTTCCTCTATGGAGAATTAATATAAGTTCATCTTCTCTTCTCTAATCATATTTTATCATCAAATTAATTCATCAACTCAAAGAACGGGTTTGTACCACAGAGTAGTCAAGGGAAATAAAGTCAGAAATTGTACATTTACAGGAAGAAAAGTCATAATTAGGCTATGTTTGATTTTGGAGGGGGGATATCAGAAGGTCAGCCTGTCGTCTGCGTTAAAATGAGGAATATAGAGCATGTTGGAAAGTGACATAAGCTTCACATATAATGAATTACTTCCACTTTTAGGTTAATCACTGGAGTTTTGTCCCACCTGTAAGATTTTTGAAAGTGTGTTTTTCAGTACACCCTGGAGAAAAGTGTTTTATTTATTTTCAGACACTCTGGATTATGTTCCGAGGGAAAGTTGGAGTGAATTTGGGAAACAAAACTATAATTATCCAATTAATCTCTTCATGGACAAAGCCAGTTCTGGAACAGCTGCGTTCCAATGAAGGACGCCGTGGTGCAGTCACAGATTGCAGCTTTAAGAAGCGATGACCTCTTTGCTTTTAAAGGTGACTTTAAAAAACCAAACACACAGATGTGACCGATCTGAATCCTTTTGGGGCCGAACAAACAAAAACAACGGTGTAAAGGCAAAAGAAAATCTTCTGCTAATCCTGCACTGGCTGGCTGCACTCAGTGTCTCTGTTGTGCACCTTTACTGCACCGAGGGGGTAATGAGAGGCATGTGTGGGCGAGCGGCTGGGGCCTGTGCTGAGTTGGGAGCTATATCTCACGGAGAAACGATGACTGTGTGTCTCTGGGACTGGTGCAGGCCCAGGTCGATGGCTCGGAGCCAGGCAGCAGATGGCCGGCCAGACTGCAGTCACATTAGAAGGGAGGTTGTTAGTGCCGATGAAAGGAACAGGTCTCTGACATTGGGGCTAAGAAAAACACGGCTCTCTCAAACTTGTTTGCAACAATTTTAAAGATTGAGTCTCCGTCTGGATAAGAGGACTAGATCAGTGCAGCCCAGTTTAAATAGTGGAGTCTTATCATTTTCTCTAACATCCTTGTTGAAAAGGATCTTCTCAACCACATCTGCATGAAGGGAGGCGGACGGAGGCATTAAACTAAATGCTGTGACTGGAGCCTGTCAGACTGAATTGAGGGCAACTTACAGCCTGCTTCTGCTCCTCATCCTATCAGCCAGCAAAGGTAAGCAGAGAGAGAAGGAGAGAGCAAGAAGAGTGAGAGCAACAGAATTAACGCAGTGAAAGGAAGGAGTTCTGCATGCACCGTACGGCACATTAACAAAACGCAAGATTGCTGCAATGTGTCGGTCGAGGAGAATTTAAAGCGTCATCAAACATACCAACAAGCCTTTTATGATAGAATATGTTATCAGTGACAAAACCTGGAAAATGCCAAAGAGCAACAGCAGGTCTACATCTTATCTCTACTGGTTCAGGGGCCTTTTCGTCCCACTTAAGTGCTAAACCCCTGCACACAGGTGATGCTCTCACCTTTAGCAGCCTCATGAGCCCCTCCAGCTGCACCATCAGCTCCCGTCTGCTCTCCTGCAGTGCCGACATGCGCCGCTCTAGCTCGTCCTTCCTGTGTCTGCAACAGGAGGACAGAGTTTAAAAAAAGAAGTTCTACCTGGATACACTACTATAATATCTTTCACGTAACTCCTACCTTTAATTTTAACTGGTCAACAGAAATGCTCTGTACTGTGGTGCAAGTGGCTTCAAAACATATTTTAATGAACATGAATTTGACAAGATTGACGAGGGCGGTTTCAAAGGAGATATACAATTGATCATTTTTTTCCTCTCATGCAAATGCAGAGCTGGTACAAGGAAGAGAGATCGACTAGTTCCTGAAATTCAAATTATATTAAACTCAAATACTGAAATTGAATTTAGGAGAGAAAACCCTGCCCACAGGTCGTCTGAGTTTAAGACTCCTGATTTAATGTGTCCTTCTCTTTTTAGTGAAGACTTCAGCGTATTATCGCCCTCTGGTGTTCACAGTGTGTCTGTAGCCATCATTTGTCACATGTTTGAATTAAAACTGGGGGAAGTAATAATCATTAAACAAGTAAGTAAGATTTAATCTTTTACTGTTTACCTACAACAATCATTCAACAGGCAAAAGAGTCAGAATGTGAGGACGTTGTAAAAATAAAGATTTAAAAGCATCAATCATAATTAAGTGTGTTGAAGGGCGATTATTATTAATATTCATTACTCATTATTTAGGGCAGACCAGACAAATAAGAAGTCATTCAAGCCAACAACCGCTGTAACATGTCCTCACAGGATGAGTCTCATCCAAGAACTAAACCCTGGGGTCTCGTTGTCCTGCCAGCATGATAAATGCCTACGCTGCAAATTAAAAAATAACACCCTCCTGAATTAGGGGAGACATTATTTCTACTTGAAGAATGAGCTCGGCCCATATAAACACAACAGCCCTGCAGTGGTTTTACTACTTCATTTTCCTAATATATACCCTCGCTCTTTCTTCCCATTCTTTCATTGCACAAGAGGAAGATGCTGTTGCAGCTGGGACCATACCTGAGGAGCCGCAGTTCAGTCAGAAGCGTGGGGTTCTGCTGGGCTTTCTCCGGGGTCGGCTGAGAGGCCTGTTCATGCTCCAGACGCAGCCTCTGGATCTCCTGCAGGATCTCCCTGAATTAGTCAGACAAGGTAATAAAAGATATTCCTTCATTAGTCCCGCAGCAGGGAAACTGTTCAGCAGTAGTGGAGAGGAGACTCTTTGAAAGTAGTACATTCAAGTCTATTCTCAAGTATTATTAGCAAAACATACTTAGTTTTCTGCTATACATTATATTTTATATATGATGTACCTATAGATGAAAATACATTACAGTTCGAGCTTTAGAGGTACTGGTAGGCCCTGTGACATGCAGGAGAAGTATGAAGTAGCTGCAGTAGTAGTAACTATAGTTGGATACTTAAAGAAATAAATGTGCTTAGTTATACCACTGCAAATGAGTCAATACAAAGTTATGTGTTTCCACTGGATAAATGATGTTTTAGTGAATTGTACCTGTTTTTGTTCTCCAGCTCTGCGATCAGCTGCCTCTGCTGCTTGTTGGCATCAAAGTTGAAACTCAGATCTGTTGGAGGACACTGTTGCTGAAATTTAAAAAAAAGATCATAGAAAGGAATTAACAACAGTGACAAAAGCCAAACACCAACAGCTTCCCTCTGACCACAGTGAGCAGTAATGACTCTGCTGCAACAGGGAGTCATTTTAGGTCACCACAGCTTTTCTTTATCATTCATCATACTGCAAATAGAGGATCCATCAAACCCTAAACCCACAGTAACCCCACATTAACACTTTCTGACTTGGAATGACTTTTGTCAATCCAAAATAGTATATAAAGATTTATTGCAAGCCGAGTAAAAGTCCCAGTCGTTAAGATTTTTGTGACTCCAAACCACATTTTTGATTTACTCATGGGGAAGTCACAGTAAATAAATGCATGCATGTGCAATATAATTTAATCATGTGAATATCAGCCTGTTCATTCTCAATGCACCGGATCTGTTTCCATTTAGTGCTAGTGCTAATGCTAACCTGACATTTCCTACTGCAGCTGCTTCACATTAAAAGAATGCGACCGGCACACAGGATGCAATGTATTGTGTTTGTCACTGTGTTCAGAGCCGACTGTGATCAGTTATTAATGATATGTCTCCAAAACCAGACAAAATCCATTTCTTGCATTTTAAATTTTGGTTGGTGAGTAATGGAACAAGAAGGAGGAGCCACAGTGACACGTTCAACCAATCAAACGCCTTTCACTGTGTCCTGCTCATAGACTTTAAATAAAGATGGACGACATAACATCTCCAAAAGTGAAGCCAAATCATCCATATTGCCCCCTGGTGGCAGGCTGCACAATAGCATCCTCTGTGTTAGCTGATGGGACCAAACTAAAAAGTCGAAGTACATTTACTTCTGGTAAATTTGTATGTAATTTCGTATTTGATGCTATAAAAAAGGTGGTTAAACATTGCGATTGACGGATGAGACTGAATCACATGGGTTGGACGCTTGTATGGGAGGGACTTCAATACTACAGCTCTACAACATGGCGACTAACGTCATAGCACAAGATGGTGGAACCCATGTCCAGGAAATTTTGGTTTCATTTTTGTAGAATGGGACGGAAGTGGAGATGCGTCGTCCATCTTTATTTATAGCCAGTGGTCCTGCTATTCTGTGGGCAGCATGAAATCAGATCACAGTTGCAATCTTAACTTATCTATTAAATCAATGTGATTTGTTTGGGTGCACTGTATGAAAACACGTTAGATGCTTTTCTGTTGAATCTCTAAAGAAGCAGCTGCTTAAGAAGAATTTGTCATAACCAGGCCTGAAATCTTAAGGATTAAACTCTTACAGAGATGACAGGTGTTTCCTAATTCTTGATGTTTCAAGAAAAATGATCAAATGAGTAAAACTGCAGGAAAATGATAAAGCTCATCTTTCGTGTTCTTCATTATTTGACTGAGAACAACAACAGTTTGATGCAACGCTAGACGAGGTTCTCCAGCCACAAAGTGTAGTGCATAACAATAAGTTGTCAGAGCATTAAACGTGAAATGCAGGTTGACTGGAGACCACCCCGGGGGGGCGTTCTGCAAGACACTCACGGTGGAGTTGCCCGCCTCGGCTGCCAGGCGGGCAGCGTAGCGAGCGATGAGGCGGTGCTCTTCATCTAGCCGGCTAGGACTCTCCAAGACACTGCCCAAAGTCAAAGACAGAGAGATACATCACGCACACACACGACACTGAATCCGTTGTCAAAAGCTCTTATGTAAGTAGAAAGAAAAGTTTGAGCAGTCAAAGTGATCATGTAAGAGAATTTGCATGAAAAAGGAAACTTTATAATTGAGGTGACCTTAATTTATGACACTTGGCTTTGACTCCAGTGTTGACAGACAGTCTGAGTTAATTGATCATAACAATGAGCAGAGATGGATAGGAGAGAATGCAGCATGCCAAATGCATTTGCGACCGTGCCAATGCCCATGCTGGCCATTTCATCACTGACTGGAAATGTCAAATACGGCATGAGACTTTAAATGATCACGGGCGTGGCATATGGCGTGGACAAATGACTGAACATATGCTGTCCTTTCTCAGCAGCCGGCCTGGAATGAGGAGTGAAGGGGAGCTGAAATGGTGCCGAGCGCTATCTAACTACGACTGGTGAGCGATGATTAAGATCATTAAACACAATCTGGCTTCAAATGTGGTGCATCAACAACTGCAGCCCCTGCACGCTTCACTACCCAGGCCCTGAAAAAACACCAGCAAACCGGCTTCTTAATCAACACTCGTGTTCAAATCTTATCTTTCTCAAAGCAAGATTTAAAAAAAGGGTTAGTGTGATGAGATAATTTTAGCACATCGCGGCTCCTATCGCTTGTTTAAAGAGTTTTCTTGTTTCATTGAAGTTATCTAAAAATACTCTGCAGATCATTTGACATGTTTCAAGATAACGTCCACTGACTCAAGAGAACTCTGCAAAAGGAAAAAAGGGAAATCGCACCAAACTCTAAAAGCACTTTTTTTTTTTTAGGGAGGATGTCAAAAAATGGAACACTTTCTAAATAATTCACCGGCTCGTCCTCGGGCGAAGGCATTGACGCAGTCTGAGTTTCTTGCAGGATAAAAGTAATACATTAACAAGCATCGAGGAGCTGCTCGGGGTCGGCCCGGGAGAAGCTGTGACCCTACACAGACATTTGGGGTTGGACTACATTTCGGGATCTGTGGGCCATCAGTCTAGATGCTGCCTCTGGCGTCGCTTCTTCAGGGAGTTTCCCAGCGATGCCAGAGGATCCATGCCATGTCTTGGACCAAGATCCATGAACTGCCTCGATAAACTGGCATTGTTCCCGGGTAGTTTTATTTTAGTCACACATTCTTTCTTTTCCTTTTTTACGCAAACCCAATATCTCACACAGTGCTGGTCCTATTTTGGTAAGAAACTGATCCTCAATGCTTCTTTCGACACTTAAAACTATAAAGGTCAAAACTCTGAGAGGGGAAATATCTTCTAACTGCATCTCTCATTATTATAGATACATGCATGTATGGGCGAGAGGCGGGGCCCACCCTGGACATGTCGCCGGAACATTTTTAGGACAAATATATACCCTAACCCATTCACGCTCACAAATTTAGACATTTCCGATCAACCTAATCCACAATCTGCATGTCTTTTGAAAGTGTGAGGAAGCCAGGAGAAAACCCACACAGACACAGGAAGAACATGCACACAGGCCAAACCAGGATTCGAACAGGGAACCTTCTTGCTGTGCCACCGTGCCGCCCTACATCAAATACATTCTCGGGTTATCTAATTCTCTTTTTTAGGTCTCAGTTTTGGTGGGCTGCTGACTCAGTTCATGTCACCTCCCCTCTATCTTCTCAAGCTTGAGACAGCGTTTTCTTTTGTTATTAAAATTTTATCTCCCGCTGCCGTGGTTCTGCATGACTAACAGGTAATAAATACAGCGGCGGTGGCTCACCCTTGGAGGACCAGCGCTATAGTGAGAGATTGTCTTCGAGAGAGAGCAAGGGAACAGATGCCATGTCAGCAGAGCAGACGGTATCAGAGAGCAGACTGTGATGCAGGCTGTAACGCTCACTTTTCCTCAGACATTCATTTTCAAATCACGCTATCGTGAATCATGTTTTTGTAAATTCTGTCTTTCATGAAAAGTGGAATTTGAAAGGGTCAACGCACAGACACACAGCTCTGGTGCTGCTCTCCAGATCGGGGCTCTTGGATTCAGGCAGAGCCACAAGGAGCTTTGCATTATTCAGAGGTGTCATCTTTGACTCACAGGCAGGCAGGCCAGGGCAGGGTAATTCTAACACTAGATTATTAACAAACCAAATGTGACACAAAGACAGCCTGGTAGCAACTGGTCCTCTGTTTTCTGCAACCAAACCTCAGTGAAACCTGCTCCTTCCCTCCTCATTCAACACCTTATCTGCCGCTCTCCAACAGCATGCTCAACACAACCTATTTTGGAAGCGTCACACTGGCTTAATGCGCAATTCCTTCCCCAAATATGGCAGCTTTGTAGTTGTTATGCCCGCCTGAGGCAAACAGCATCCTCGGTGCATGACATCTTCCCAAAGCAGCTCTGACTCACGGAGCAAAATGTCAAGACAAAGGTTATCAGGCTTCTTCATTACTGCCACAGTGAAACGAACCTCAAGAGAGCAGTGTCGCCTTCCACTCGTACGTGCCCGCAACACGTGACGTCTTCCACTGACCTCCACGGGTCTGGAAGCGAGGGATCGTTTTACCGCCTCGGGTGTCCCCATCTCGTCAGCTTCCTTCAGACCTGCTCTAATCTTGACACTGTCAGCCCACGGAGACATGACTGCACTGCACAAAATGTTCATCTCCGCAAGAACCTTAATCTAGTATTGATTGTGAGCATCTCATTTTTATAAATACAGAGAGGAAATCTTCCAGCAGTGTTCGATGGTTAAATTGTCTTTTAAATCGACAATTTCTAGTGTGAGGTATCTTATATATGATAGAATAATGGCATGGCCTCAACCTTTTTTACAATTTTAAGGCTCATTCTTGCTGCAAATGGACGTTTCTTTGCAGTGTGCGCTCTGTCCTTCGCCTGCCTGGGTCCTTGGTGTAGTACTGTATGATAACCCTGCCCGGAGGAGCACAAGTGGGGGAGATAAAGCTGCCATTCAGTCTCTCTTTCAACTGTCTACAAAGCCTTTGTCTGGATTTCAAACCTGATCTTTAAGAAGGTGGATGGTCACACCTCTATTATTTCTGTACAGTGGACGGTGACGCCACCTCCCTGCTAATGTGTTGTGGGACGTCCCGAGTCCCTGAGCGCTTCCATCTTGCAAACACAAATTGCAGGAAAGATGTGACGGAGAGACACCGATGCACAACAGAGAAATTCATCCTGCACGGACCTGCAGGACAGAGAGCAGAGTAAAACTCCCCTCTGCATGCCCTCCATTATCAAATTCAAAATCACAATGGTTCATTACCACGCTCTGAGTAAACAGCAAGAGAGGTGGCCTTTAACTGAGAGGGGCTCAAATGAGGGGGCAATTAGGCAGCTTTCACGGAGCGGGCGCCTGCTATCTGCTTACATGGTGAAGGCTCCAATTCTATCATGATCTATTTGTCAAATCAGCCATTTCAATAGGAGCGCTCACACACCCTTCATGACAGCGGAACAAATCTCCCTCTAAAAATACACTCACAAGGGCAATGCTGCTCGGATGCAAAAAAATGTGTGTCAAGTGTGAGAGTCAAGTCAAGTGTGGAGCAAATAACATCTGTAATCTTTTTGTTGTAATTTCTTCTTGTTTCCCCCGATTGGAAGATGATGCATCACCTTTTCTGAAGACAGCCTGAATTCTGTGTCATTAAACAGATTTATTTTGTAGGCGTGCGACTTAAACTGACATTTTGTCGTCTTTAAGGCAAAAAAAAAGGGTGATAATCACATGTGGGAACCCAGTTCTGTGGAATAATCTGAAAACACATCCTTTTTTTAAAAAGACATTATGCCTGGGGGTGCTTACCTTTTGGTAGGAGTAGGTGCCCCAGAGGACATGAGAATTGTGTCGTTCATGTTGTTGGCCACTGGTTTCGGCTGACTAAAAGACAAGATTAGAGGTCTTTAATGCTACACTGCAGAGGCCTGTGGTGCTTGTCACCAGGGAATGGAGGAGAGGGCATTTGCATTGTATTAATATTCATAAATCAGTACAAAAGAGGCTGAGAAGGGAGGCAGGTGGCGATCATTGCAAACTCCAGAGTGGTGGATGCATGTTGTCCTCGTGCTAACTTCAAACTGTCATGAAATAATTGGCTTTCCCAGCAAACAGCAATCTAGATGTTTTCAGGCTATTAGCTTAAACTAAATTAACACGAGCAAAAGCGACAACAGCCGACAAGAAATCTAATTAAAGTGGAAGCCTGTGAAAAACCAAGAAAGGTGACATTGTGGGAGGTAATTTGTGCAAGTAAACAAAGCAATGGGGTCCATCTGGCGGCCCCCGATGAGCTCATCTAAGCCCACGGACCACAGAGTCTCATTAATGGATCAAAATATCTCCCCGCGCATCTCAGGTGCTCTTTGCGTCACACTTCACCCGCCACAGAAAAGAGCAGCCTCTCGCGGCTGCACTGGATTTTCATGTCTCTGTAGTTGCATCTCCTCAGTCTGCACGTATTTATCTCACTGCAATGACTCTACTGTATCTGACTGTTTTATTTAAAGCCCTCATTAACACATAAAAAGCAACAGCATTGTGTCCAGTAGAGCGTATGCGTCCAATCAGCATTTTCCTTTTGCCAAATCCAACTATTTATATCCACATTGTGCAGAAGATTGTTATCAGCATGAAGCACAAAAAGCCTTTTTCCCCCTCTGGTGCCATAAAGTGCCTCAACAGTGCAAATTTATTTTTCTTCTGAGTATTATTGTGCTACTACAAACAAAACAGAAATTGGAGCAAGAAACAAAACTGCACACTTTCTGCCCCACTAACGATATTCAAATAATTTGCAGTGTTATTTGTTCACAAACGAAAGTACATATTTCCCTGCATTAATGAGGATGCTCAAGGGGGGGAGTGTGTTCTTTTTAAAGACATGCTGCGATTATTGGTTCATGCATTTAAATTTCCCTCAGGACGGTGGCCTCACAGATTTAAAAGAAAACCACTGATGCTCCTCAATGACAAGGTCAACAGTGCCACTTTTGAAGTTTCTGAGGCAATTGACAGGAAAAAGGAAAAACTGCCACTGCTCAAACCTGCACATGTTTCCCTGCGTTCTCCCTCGGAAGCAGAGAAAGACCAAGTAAAACCCCAGAATCGTTGCCTCTCACTCATCGTGTTACAGTTTTTTCCGCTCTGAAGGTGAACTCCAGACAGACAACGAGACACTTACCTCTGTGGGGAGAGAGAGCACCTGCCTGCAGGCTGGCAAAATACATCCAACTCCCGCTGCAGCTGCTGTTGCCAGATGCCTAACCTGCCCTCAACTGAGCAGGCGAGCATCTCAATGTACTACACTGCTGCTGTCTCCAAGGAAACTCGGCGGTCACATGACTTTATGACGACGTAGATTTTCTCTATCTCTCTCTCTCTCTACCTCACACACTCTCTCCCTCCCTTTCCCTCTCTCTCCTCTCTGCTCTGACTCCGTCTCTTCACCTCTCTCCAACACACTTGCACTGGAAACAAGGGAAATGCCATTTGTTCAACTTGAAAACCTCTAAAAAAAAAAAAAGCAGCTCAGGAAAATGTGCAATAAACTGGCCTCTATAGTTAACGCATCTTACCTCTTCCCCCTCTTACCTTCAGCGAGTCACATAAGTCAAAGCTCCTCACAGCTAACCTTCTATAAATAATCACTCTGGAGTACGCAGTGGGGTGCAGTGAAAAAAAAAGAAGCTTCTTCTTACGTAAAAGCTTCTGAGTAGCCAAATTTCATTTCCCTCTAATATTTGGATTAATTCTAACAGGAGTCCTGACTCATTCACATCAGGATCTGCAGCGCTGTGGTTCGCTGACTGGAGATATGTTGATTAAGGACTCACTGTCCGCCACACACGCACACACACACACACACACACACACACACAGCTGCTGCCTGGAGGTCAAATGGGAGCGGACTGACAGAACATTTTGGAACTAAGACATCAAAGTCTGCAATGCGCTAATCCTCCTTCTACCTGTGCGTAGAGAATGTCAATGTACCACCCTGTCCGTGCACTTGGCAGAGGATCAGGGGAGATGAAGTCTGGTGGATGCACACACACACACACACACACAGATTTGACTTCTGCACGATGCACGGCTAAAAACAATACGCAAACATGAAGCATCCCCTCCTGCTGGCAGCTGTGCACAAATTTTCCAGCGAGGCTGCCGGTGCCTTGGCCGTAAAAAAAACCCAATGGATCGCACTCAAAGAAAAGTGAATTACATGCCTGCTCTCTCCCATTCTAACGACCCTGATGGAATTTGCATTGACCCGGAGAGTAGAAAAGATGTAAAACAGAGGAAGGCATTTTGAAATATTAAGGGATTTCTGGGGATTATGGAGAGAGTGGAAAATTGGTTGCTATGGCACTGAGAGGCTGACGCTAAAGTGTGCTTTCCCCATTAATGCAAAGTGAGGTAAGAGGCCTATTTTCCACTTTCAAACTATTTCCTCACTGAAAGTCTTCCGGCAGAGGAAGTGCGAGGCAGGGCTAAGTCTGAAGGTAAGAAAGCTGTATCAAAGATTTAAAGTTCCTGAGACAGACAGTGCATCCCAAACCTATAACTCCTCAGCAAAACAAAGATCCCCAAGAATCTTGCTGACAGTTTGAGTGGAGGGGTGGTGGAAACAATTCACAGCTGAGTTTGCTGTTAGACTTTGCTTTCAAATGCCAGTAAATATTTCACAACAGTTTCAGAATAGCTGCACTTTGTCTGAAGACGCCGATGATGACGCGAGGGGCCGGACAACCGGGAGGCTCATGTCCGTTCAGGAGTTTTGATCAAACTTGACGCTCCAACCTGATTCTGCCATTATTACTCACTCACAGGCGCTACGTCAGCACACACACACACACACACACACACACACACACACACACACACACACACACACACACACACACACACACACACACACACACACACACACACACACACCTGAGAGACCACACTGATGGATGTCTCCTGGTACACAAAATGAAATAACACCTTTTCCCAAACAACATTTATCAGGATTGGCAACTAGCTGCATTGGTTCTACAATACCAACAATGCTTTTCTCTCTGTAAGGCATCATCAATATAACGCTGTCAGTGAAGAGTAAAACTGGAGGTTTGGCAGTTTTCCTGTGAATAATCATCTGAGGGATCTAGTGCGATGAAGGATTTTCAGGAGCCAGCGTGGAATTCCACATGGGAATGGTTGGCCGATAATGACTGCGTTCACCTATAATTTATCTAAAATCCAAAAGTTAATAAATGGAAAATTAGTCCATTAATATTTCTACATTGTGGCTCAAATGGGCAGATTTACAGTTGGATTTAAAGCAGTTCAACCTTTTGGGAAAAATGTGCTCTCTTAATGAGCGCTGCCTCCTGGTGACTGGCTACAGTAGAGGTCATAAATCCAGCCTCCTCCATGTAGGTGAATGGGACACAGTAATCAAAATTTTTTTTTTCTGTTAATTTAAAGACCTCTTACCACTCTGGTGTATATTTTTCCCTTATCTTTGGTTTAGATTAATTTTTTTGATAAACATGGTGAAATATCATGATTGACAGCTACTAACTTCTGATTGGTCGAGCGCATGTAATGACGGGACCTTCACTACCGCAGCTCCATCCCCAGAGCGACACTGCACAGGCTCTGGTGTTCGTGTCCAGGGTACTTTGGCTTTGTTTTTGGATTATGGGAGGAAGTTGAGACTGGTTGTCCTTCTTAATAAAAATATTCAGTCTATCTAGTGCTAAGCTAAGCTAACCAGCTGTTAGCGTATTGATCCTTTAATCATTTAAGTGTTACAGCCTCACATCTCATATTTTATATTCTGAACTATTAATAAAATCAAATCTGTACATAATCCCCTCTGTGGGCGTATTCTGCTGCAGATATAAATATTCCCTGAAAAATATTTGCATGTCTTTTTGTAAATTTGAAGACATATACAGCTAAATATGGAACAGCGACTGGCAGTGGGTGATGAATACAAGCTTTGAAAGGTTTTCAGGTTAAAAACATCTTCTCACTGCACACTTGACGAGAGGCGCTATTTAATCAGTGCACACAAATAAAAAACCGGAACGCACCTGAAAACACAAATAGCCCTTTTTTCCCCCCCATCATCAAAGACGGAGACTTTTACCCTCCCTGCCTCAGACAAAACAATAGAGAGAGACAGACACAGTCTCAGGGGTCAACAGTCACATCCAATATCCTAAAGTCAGTGAACACACACACACATGCCAAAACACACACAGTGCCACCAACCCTGAAATGCCATTTGTGAGAGCATGAGAATGCACTTTGCCAACACAAAGAAGAAATCCTATGAGAAATCTTCAATTTCAGAGGTGACAGAGCTCCATATTGTTAAATAACCCAGCTTCTATTGTGTTTTTTGATGATAAATCTTAATTTGATTTAAATTAAAATGGAAATACTTAAAGTAAAGTAAGTAAAGTCCCTCAAATTCTGTATGTACTTGAGTACATATACTTTCCATCACTGTAAATAACATGTAGTTCATTAAACATGAAAAACTAGGATGCTTCACTTCAAGAAAAAAAAACCCTCAGAGGAAAAGATTTACGATAAAAGTTCTTTGAGCGACAAATTCCAATATAACCAAGAGCCTCTAATGGACATGAGTCAATATTCTCAGAAAAAAAGACAAACCACACCACAGATTGCTGTTTCCTGAGGACACTGGAGAGACATGACCCAAAAGAGTTTGAAATCTTATTCGAAGCAATATTAATCTATTTGTGTGATGTAATTTCATGCTAGACAGGCTATACTGTGCGGGCTAATGCTAATCCAATCAGCTTCTCTCTCGGTTGGAAGAAATATCCGGGTCAACGACTGATTCTCCACATTGTGATGCATCATAAAATTGTGCAAATGAAATGAAAACGTCATCTTAAATGCATAAGTTTGGAGACAATGCCCGAAAAGAAAGAATCCTCCCTCCAGTGGGCAGAGCCTGGAAGTGAGATGTGATTCAGAGATGATCGTTATCTATCACGCAGTAAAACAGGAAATCAGGATGATGTGTTTACACTGTGTCTGTTTTTCTTGGCATTTGCTGAGCTACTTTCTCCCTGTGATGTGGCTCACTATCCGTTACTCACTGACACTTGCCAGCAGCAAACGCACATACAGGCAGCTCAGATTGATGCTCGTGACTGGAATATGAAGCAGGATTTGGTTGTGAAATGTGCTGTGAGAAATGCGGAAAGCTCCGGTAAGAAAAGTTGAGAGATTTCCTGTTTGGTCACAAACAACATAAATCATACATCACTTTTTAAAATCTGAAACATTAGATCAAGGCCAAAAGTGTTCAACGATGATGAGGGAAATATGAAGTGACCATAGGGACGTGGATGACTGCAGATGTCTCTCTGCGGTGGAATTGATTATGGTAATTGTACTATTTTTCAACTGAAATGTAAATGAATGTGCGGGGTTTAAGACAGCAGCAGAATATAATGCATCTCCTATAATGACTTTGAGGAGCTTCAAAGCCCGGAGTGTGAGATTTACACCCTCGTCTCCGTTTCATTGCCAACAGACTGATGAGTATGGCTGTGCCGTTAGCGGCAGCAGCAGCGGGTACTGTGTAGTATATCAGCATCTCCACGTTTGCAAATAATCAGGGGCTTGACACCTCCGCAAGATGGCGATCTATCAGTCATGTCGGGACAGCGAAATGGAAAAGATGGAGGCAGTTACATGACAAGAACAGACTGTAGATCATGAGCACACTGGGCCTCGCTGTGCTGTTAATCAACACACCGGTTGGGTAGCCCTCATTAATGACACACACAGTGGCAACAAACGCCTTGGGAATGGCACTTACACAGTATGGGCGAGTTCCTGCGGTCTCTCGGCCTGCTCGGGGAACACAGGATGTGGCGGCTCTCCGATGGGGACGCAGCCGAGAGATTTACTGATTGCGTGGCTCAGCTTTTTGGCTGGAGACTTCTGTGAGGAGGGCAGGAAAAACAAAGCGTTGTCACCCTGTGTGATGTTTCTGGTGCCGTCACAGTGTGGGTGCAGCACAGACGGATTTAAGCTGCTTCGGGAAGACATTTACATAACTAGGTCAACAGGCTGTTTACTGTGTCAGAAGTGGGGATCAGCAGCAGCAGCTCCTGCATTCGGCTGTAGATTCAGGAAGAGCTTGTATCTGCTACGTCAAAGACCAAAAATCCAAACTGTCCTAATATCAGGAAAAGTAAGAAGCCTGATGCAAAACAGTTTTAATGCTGTGACTGATGTGTGGATTTTTTTAAGCCACAAAGCCATGGAAAATAACTCAAACTACTAAATAAGTTTTAAAGGTCCAGTGTGTACGATTTAGGTGAAAGGGATCTATTGGCAGGAATTGAATATAAAATAATCCTAGTGATGTCTTCACTAATGCGTAATCATCTAAATTGTATGAATTGTTTTTTTTTCCCTAGAATGGGCCTTTTATATTCACATTGGGAGCAGGTCTTCATTACGAACACCGCCATGTTTTTTAAAGTTTTCCTAACGGGAGAAACTAATCTTTCTTTCAAACTACCTGATGATCCATCGCAAACTGTTTCCACTATTTATTGCTTTTCATTTAATATTTATCCTTCCTTGCATTTTGTGAGAGTTTCAATGTAAAGCATATTGAATTTAATAGACGTAAAATGAATAAATAAATACATTTTACACTCGTCATTATACAAATAAACGGGTTAGCACATAGGAAATGACATGCGATATGAGCTGTCACAGAAAGGGACGTGGCCAATGATTCAGAACAGAACAGATACTAATGCCGAAACATTGCGGATGGTTTTGTGAGGTGTAAAACAAAGTGACATGGTGATGTCACAGATGTGTCGCAGACAAACGATATACAGGAAAAGTAGGAAAACATCCAGAACAGATCGAACATCACCTTTGTGATAAATGTCATCATTTGATTTATATGTATCTCAGACAATGTGTTTGTTTTCTGTACAAATAAACCAAGGGGGATGGAAATTGGATTTGAAATCCAGCATCTATTTCTTCCTTTATTTCCATTTATACTATAATGACTGAGGTTTGAGGGAATGTGGCAACATGGTGATTTAAATCAATGCAATTTAATTTGCCAAAATAAGTAAAAACCCATTAAATCCCTGTTGGTTTGCAGGACATGTAGCAGGACGGATGAATGCTCCAGGAGAGATATTGATTTCTGAATTGTAATAAAAGGGAACGACGCAATGTAGAATTGAGAGTGATCAGGGTTTTGTCTTACCCAAGACGAGTGCTCCTTCATCTGGTGCTGGTTGCTATGGGGACCATTGGCATGGCCACGCCAGAAGCAGCTCTGACAAAGCTGGTAGCCATGGCACTGTTGGCACCGATACCGAAAACCCATCATGCTCTCGCTCCGGCAATATGAACATTCTACCGGATGGAAGACTGAGCAGTGAAGAAGAGGATTTTCAGTCACAGACATCTTTACTCACAGTGATACTGACTAAAACCTCTGCATGCAGTCAGATTTAAAGCAGTGGTGGAAAGCAAATTCAAACTTTAAAGTACTTGTACTTTATGTGACTGTATCCATTTTATATCATCTAATGCTGGTACTCAGAGGGAATGTTGGCTTTATACACAAATACATTTATTTGACAGATATAATTAATGTTACAGATAAAGATGAAATCTCACATACTAGGTTCCCTAACATGTGCATCCTTACAAAAAAACATTAATTGTCAATGAGCTTTTCCTCTTAAAGTTTCACATCCACACCGTTTAATTTAAATAACTATTTGAGGTTGAAATAGGTAAATGCCTACAAATTCCACCATTGATGTACAGTGTAGATATACGTAATTGTAGTAGTAAGATTTACCTCTAAATCAGCCCACATCTATTCCACATCTTACCATTTTCAACATTAGCAAGTCGGTGCATGAGTGGTAGCCACACGAGACACTGAGGAGGAGGATCTGCCATCAACACATCCAGAAACGTGTTCAGCATGATCTTCTTCTGGATACAAACACAAACATGTGTGTGTCCAATGAGAGTTATTAAAAGTTTAAAAAGTAGATAGAGAAAAAGAAGAAAAAGAAGAAGAGCGTCGGGTTGTTCTGATATCCCACCTGCTGGGGGAAGCACGTCCGCACCGAATGCTCCGTGTAGCCGAATGAGGGGCCCTCGAACACGGCTGTGGGTAGTTTCAGCACCTCCCGAAGAAACTGATCGAACTTGGCAAACACCATGATGCCACTCGAGTCAGAGATCTGTGAGAAAATATCTGAGAGACAGAACGTGTCAGATGTTGTTCGCAGCAAAAATGTGGTGTAAACACGCTGCTGATATTTATATGATGCATGATCCATAATGAATATACTCATCAGCTAATACATGCACAGTAAATTAATTCTGCTGGTGTGTTTCCACAGTGCCCCCGTGTGTTTAATTTGAACAACTACAGCGGACGTAAGCTGTCCCAGGACTGTTAAAAACACTACATGTACAAGTAATAACCGTTATTTGTATTAAATGAAGGAAATTTATCAAATCTACTGACACTTTATATGAAAAACAGTCAAATATGAACTTACAACGTAGTTTATCCACAATTTTCCCTCCACACATTGTCGCCAGCATTGCTTTCATTGAGAAAACTGTCAACTTCCCATGGCTTTCACTGCGAGGAGAGAGAAAAGTAATATAAGTGAGATTACTGGATTACAGGAAGAAGCAACATCAGGACCTTAGTCTCTGAAATGTATTCTTTAAATAAAGAAGCGATAAAATGCAGCCTGGTTCAGGGATTTTGCTGCTTCAGTCATATTTTGTCTGTAACAACTCCACAGCTATAGGTCACTGTTTGCTTAATAAAAGATTATCTACAGTTTTACACATTTATGACCATTCATATCCAAAATGAGGTTGCAGGGAAAAAGCATGATGTGTTTTGTCCTCTTTCATTTTGTGTGAAACCATTAAAACTGAGAATAAGGTAACCCAATGAAAAAAATGCACCACATTAGATATAACATACAGCAAGGCCTCTGAGAAAGAATATGAACTAAACCCATCAGTGTACTGTTGGTCCAAAAGGATCAAAACTCGCAATCTAAGCCTTAAATCACAGCTTAACATGATGATTATGAGTCTGCCTCAGGACACCTTAATATCTCTTTAACTTGCCGAGAGAGGGCAGCTCTTTCACTTCGGATTCGTTTAGCTCTGACTTCCGAGCAGAGGTAACAGAGATGCATGAAAGCTCTTCTGCCTAATTCAGTTTGGACCTCGGGGACAGATAGGGAAACCACTTCCTGTGATCGCAGACAGTCGTTTCCACCAAGTTTCCCAGAGATACAGCAGCATGTATAATAACGGGGGGGGGGGGGGCAGAGTGGCCTTACAGATAACAGTAAACCAATTGAATGGGAAAGGGGCGAGCTGCCAATCAATTTGAGAACATGAGGACATATAATGAACGAGAGCTTTACGGTCAATGATAAACCTCCGTGCTCCAGGATGCACTGCGTCCGGGGCCTTGAGCACGGAGCAAACATTAAGAGGAGGGATATACTGTAAACCATCAGCGGGGATACTTCAGCTGATCGAGCATTTTTTTTAAATGCAGCACACTTTTCTATCTGTATTGTGATGGAAGAACTGGATCTGTATTTCTTCTTTAATCACTCATCAGCTTATTGCCAAGATATCTGAGGCCTGAATCCTGATTTGATGGTTTGTTTGTACAATGATGTCTGGGTAGAAGCTATCATGGGAAGTAAATGTGCCTTTTTGCAAACTTGTTAGTAATATTGAGGAACTATAATAAAAAACAAACACATCAACAGTGTTTTTTATGTTGATCAATCTCTGGCAGTGTGGGGGATTCTTGTAAAGAGCATTCAGACCTTTGTTTTAGGAAAGTAAATACTAATGCTGTTTTATGGATGTTTCTTAATAAGAAATAAAATAATTTAATTTGATTCTAAGGTAAAAGCTTCTAATTTTACAGCTGAAAACAAATGTTTGGTTTATAAAATAGCAGAGTAAAACATTTTAATTAATAAACAGAAATACATTTCCCGAAATACTACTCAGTTTAAATATGACAGTATAGTGCTCAATACATAATGCATGAAAACAAAGAATTCTTTACAATGTGCCACACAAGGTTTCACTTTGCTTGGATTGGTAATGAAAATGATTCAGCCGTGACTGTGAAAGGAATATTTTTTCAACAGAGCAAGTAGCAGTGATAATCATTACTATTATTTTTGTAATTCTATGTTATTTTATGTATTTGAAGTTCAGCAGACGACCTGCAGGTTATGGGAGCTGTTCTGAAGCTGATTGTCAAGAGCATGTGCTTAAATAACATCAGTTTGTTTGCACAGTTGTTAAAGGTGAGAACAGTGGCCCCTGCGGATAAAAGTGGAGAACTGACCTGAACTGCATGTTATTATTACTATTACTAAACTTGTTATTAGTCTGTTCCAACTTAACCCTTTGCTCTTTCACACTTAGGTTGGATACTATCCTATCTATATGAAGCAAAGCGTCACAATTCTCTCTCTCTCCCCATGTTTATGGTAAATCCAATCAGATCTTCTCACAATCTCAATCAGTCAATCACGATGTTGGAGTCAAACCTGAAATCTCTTCTCCCCTCTGTCGCAGTGATTTCAGTGATCTGCTGTGACATTTCTCCTCCCCCCCACATCACCTCCACTCTCCACATCCAGACCCCTGGTAAAGCCCAGATGAGTCTGCTCATTCTCTCCCTCTCCCACCAACCAGGGTCAAGACTCTGGGGGGGTCTTGATGACATCACGAGGGGGCCAAATAGACTCATTTCCAGCACTTTAATTTCTTATTGTTTCAATTGCGCTGACCACCCGCCTCCTACCTGTCATAGGTGGCCACCATGAAGTTGAGCAGCAACCCGATGGACTGCTCCACGTTGATCTGGTGGGTGGTGGGCAACCGCTTGTTGAGCTGGTAGTAGATGGAAGACAGGATAGTCTCCAGCCGCGACACATTGATCTCAGCATTGTGGTCCAATGTGTTGAGGCCGTTGTCGCGAAAGGCTTCGATCATGTTCCAGACATCCACCAGATGAACTGTGGGGGAGGGCAAACGGACACGCTGCCATCAGTCACGTCTGTATCACACTACATGTGTCCTGACAGATGAGAAGAGTCTACATGCTCTTACGGTTGCATCTCTTCTGCACAAACCGGAGTTTGCAGGCGGTCCTGTAAGTCGACAGTCTGATAACATCGAAGTTCTGAGCTCCTGGAAAACAAATGCATTAAAATCACACACTTTCACAGATGAATGCAGGTTCTGGTCCAATTCAATGAAATAAAACCAAACACCATACAAATGCAGTCAGGCTCACTGGAGGTACACTCAAAAACTATCGCTCCCTTTGTGTGGGAGGAATTCAAATATACGTGCGAGGGACCACGCATCATCTCCTGTGCAACTCCGAGCCCGTCAAAGACTTACATGATGCCAATGCTGGCTATGAATAGTGAAAAGAGATTTCTCTCAGTCGACTCCACTCACTCATTTCCATGAAGAGCTGCCTCTTCTCCACCATGGCCTTGCCTCGTTTACTGCCCTCCTCGATCATTCTGTGGCACATCAAACAGCAGAGCATGCAGCGCTCACACTTCAGACAGCAGCATGGTAATAATACGCAAACCTTTTATTGTGCAAAATCACTCATGTACCGTGTGAGCGAGCAGGTTTCAAACAAACGTCATTTATGCAAAATGAGGAACATGTTTCCAGGAAATGAGAAAAATGTACCTAAACTTAATAATTGAACATTTGGAGGGTTTGATCCTCATGTGGTCATTATTTCTGGGATGATTTCATTACACACAGAGTAGAAATCTCTTACGTGGTCAAAGCTAAATGATTGAAATGCACAGATGAGCTGGTGCACCAAGGATTCAGAACATTCTTTCATGTTCGTGACTCACCTTGACCATCAAGGACTGTGTTAGTCATCTCTTACCTTTGTGTAGATATAAAGATTATGTGGCTTTTTAACAAATGATAAAGCCAGGTATAGAAATTATATTAAAGAGTTTTTATGACACTTTAATTAATCATATGATGCGAACAACCATGCAGCGTGAACTGCCATTTTGTATCATTTAATCTCTATTTAAATCAGTGAAACGTGGAGGTGTGGGCAGCAGTGAAAACCAGAAGTAAGAGGTAGTGTCTTGAATATAAAGTGTCCCCTGAGGGCTCACAGGGTGCAGCTGTGGCTCAGGAGGGTTGCTGGTTCGATCCCTGGCTCCTCCGGTGTCCTTGAGCAAGACACTGACATCAATGATGTATCATAAGGTGCTATGAGTGGTCGATAAGACTATGAGCTCTATAGAAATGCAGCCCATTTACCATGTGACAAAATTCCTTCTATTCAAAGTAGTTTCATTTTTAGGAAATATTCTTAATCTCTTTAACGCTGAGAGTCAGATGAGAAGCGTGATAGCTCGCTCATGTCTGCACAGTAAATATGAAGCTGGCAGTTGATTGGATTTATTTAGTACAAAGACCGGAAACAGTCCGACTCTGTTCAGAATCCTTCTGTCAGCACCAAGCTGGCTAATTAAAACATGTTATCTCATTTATTCAATCCAGATAAAAGCCAAACTTGGAAAACGACATGTTTGTGGTTTTACGAGAGGTTCATGTGGCAGATCATTTCTTGGCCCTTCTTAAAATGTCAAACTAGTCAATTAAAGTGTGTTGAGATTATTAATTTAGTTTGACAATAACTACACATATATAAAAATCAAAGAGATCAAGTTCACAATGCAACTGTTCAAAACAGACATAATTCATTTGGCCCACAGTGGTTTTAATCTGTGGGTGCAGGTATCAGATGGTTTGTGGAGGAACACAGGGAACGTTCATCTCAAAGACTCTGTGACGAAGCCAAACTCCACATCAGTTGTGTCATTTTAAAAAAGATTCACTGTTGAACACTCGATACTCGGCCTCTTAGAAGACGAGTTCCCTTTGAAACCATGCAGGTCTGATTATTTCATTCATTCCCTCTGTCTACTATTTCATCATTATGGCTTTTAATGTGGAGTAGAGTCTTTAAGTTGAATACAATGTCTTAATTTGACCCTGTCTCTTAATTTCATTGAAGATATTTTATAGTAGCTGGTGAGTGGTCTGTATTTATATAGTACTTTTATAGTCTTGATGACCACTCAGACCCTTTCACACACAGCCAATCATCTATTTTCAGCACTTTATCCATCACACATCATTCACACACTGCCCACACAGACTTCAGGGGCAGTTTGGGGGTCAATATCCTGCCCAAGGACATTTCAGCACAGGGATTTTCGGGGGGCTGGGATCAAACTGCCGACCTTCTGGTTAGTGGATAACCTGTTCTACCTTTCTAGTAATATCAGCACATTGGTGGTTCACACTTAAGGTATATTCTTTGTTCTCAGTAAAACATAACAAATAAAGTACCTGTAGGTTATAACCTCAACAGTGTATGTGATATTTTACGGATATTTTAAAAGTGTTTACCTGTCGCTTGCTGAATGTCAAACGTCAAAAGCCCTAAATGTCGACCCTGTGAAGAAAAAGAAGAGTTAGTGAGGGGGTCTCACTTAATATAAGCATTTCCATGAAGAATAAGCTATTCCTCCCTGATGACACATTGCTGACTATTAAATAAGTAATTAACACCTCCTCCCCTCTTTTTCTTTCTCCCTCCTTCAAGGACTTCATTAACTACTAATTTGTGCTTTTGTTCCCCCCCATCTCACTCCTCCTGTGGAGATGTCGGTGAGCTATGGCAGGGGAACACTCCAGTGCCTATAGTCTGTGCAAATGATAATTCTCCATGACATCCCGTGTAGCAGTGACTGCATCCTGTGGGCTAATGACACCGACTGAGCTGCAAAGAAACCGCTTAATGATAATGGACGCAGAGCACATTACGGCTGGCCGGTGACTGATGAGCGCCTCGGACCGAGCTCCAAAAATATGTCTGGATCACAGCGAGCTGACCAACGGAGAACTCAAGGTTCTTCCACCCTAAGTCAGCAAGAGGAAGGCTTCTCTATTTCCTTTTCTTCTGCATCACGCCTCGGTTTACACACACCCTTCTTCTCAAACTGACCTCTGGTGTTATGACAGAGCCTCATTCCAGTCACCAACTTGCAACTCTGTGTTGAGGGGCTGTTATTCCTGGTGACAGGCACCAGTGAGGGTCTTTAGAAAAGGCCTCCTTCACTGAAATTGGAATTTGTGTGATCAGGGCTGCAACAAATTATTATTCTATCCATTAAGAAATCCAGTGGATGGTTGGGAGCAATAGTAGAAAACAAAGAAAAGCTAAACATCTTTACTTTTAAGAGGCTGGAAGACACATTTGTCAGACACACGTTTGTTGTTTGGCACATTTGCTTAAAAAATGTCTGAAACCATGAATTGATAGTCAAATTTCGGAGGAATTTTCTGCCGAGCGACTTAATCTGTTAACCAACTCGGACGAAATTCCCAAACCACCAGATACAGCTGCATTTTAAGGTCAGAGTAAAACCACTTTGCACCAAATCAAAACAGCTATTTTTGGGCTTTGTAACTGTATTGAGGCTCTTTGTAGCTCAGTGGGCAATTCATGACTCCATCCCAGCAGGATTAAGGGTTCATGGGGCCAGGAAGGCAGTTGCAAAACATGGTCATCTTAATTACATACTGAATCCTCCGGGTCCTAAAAGTGGCAACCGCCCCCCCACCCACCATCACCAAACAATATCTGGGCATTTGTAAAGGGGCAATAAGTCGGAGAGGCACCAATACACTGTGGAGGAAAAGCGTAGAGAACATTTGCAGTGGGAGACACAACAGACACATCAGCAAAAAAATAACACAATGGTTCATTGTAAATATTCAGCCTGTGAAGTAACTGCAGAAATTCATGAGTAGGCAGGAAAACTGTGAGCGGTGCATGGCAGCAAATGACACCTCAGTAGATTAGATATAGGTTTATAATGAGACAAAGCAAAATGGCACAACTTCTTAATTATTCATAGAGAAAATGAATTCACAGAGGAGAGCACATTCACATGCACGGAGCAGGACCGTTGTGATAAAGGTTTTTTTGTGTGTTTTTTTTGCATTCGCGTATCTGCACATTAATATCAAACTGGTGCTGCTGGTGATCACCACAGGCCCGTGAAGGTGCATTTGACTGTAACCGCACCTTCAGCTTCGAGGTAATGACAACATCCTATGAGGCGAGTCAACACAAGGACTGGGCTGCTGCAGTATTTCCCTTCCGCTGACATCATTCACTTTCTCCGTTTGTACCAAGTCTCGATGCTGCAACACTTAAAATTCACTTCTGGAGCGACGGTGGCGCACAGACGCAGCCATGTTGTTGCTTTAACTGCTCATTTACCTTATTTCCCCACAAAAAGATCGAGATTGGCGTGAATATTTTATTTTTATATTTGGCTGAGGAAAAAAAACGGAAAAACTCTGCGTCTCTCCAATGATCAGCTGCTGTCGAATGAGAGGCATCGCAGGGAATTGGCCTTTACAGGAGGAATATCACGCAGGATGCGTTTAGAGCATCCTCCTCCTCCTCCTCATCCTCGGCAGCAGCAGCAGCAGCAGCATCATCAGATGAGGAGGATAAGTGGTCCAGGGTGAATAAGGAGGATATTTCACAGCCGCTCTCTCACCTCGTTGCTGAATCCACGCGTGTGTCCGCCGACGTTACAGCTGCCCGCGGCTCGCATCGTCCATCATCGTGTCTCCGGCTCCTCTCTCCCGTCTCATCCGACTTCAGCCTCGGAAACTGCGGTTGTAGCCGCACACAGAGACGTGCGAGCGCCCCGTTCCGCTCGGCATCATGAAGCGACCCAGCGGCGGAGGACGGCACAGCTCCGAGATGCCATGCGCGCCCACCTACTACACTTTACGCATGTGCGCACGCACGCTGGGTAGAGGCGCGCGTCTACTACTGCTGCTATTACTCTGGATTGTGAACCTGGACATAGAAGAGAGGAGATGAAACAAGAAAACACAGACTGAATTTAATATAAAGGGACATTTTGGACTGTATTGTTAAAGGCAAAGACTCACCATAGACATATTTAAAAAAAAAAGATGGTCAGGGTTGATGTAGCACAGGTTAAGATAAATTATACTAATACAAATAAATTATTTCAAGGATGAGGTTTAGGCATATTAATCTTTACATGTGTGAACGATGAAACTAGACTGAGATAAGTACGGTAACCAGATGGACACATTAAATCAAAATACACAATGGACTAAGATCATGTTTCAACTAAGATGGAGACTAAAATGATGCTCTCCCCTGGAGAGAAACCAATGAGTTCACGTATGATAGTTCCTGGATTTATGTATCAGGCAGAGAGACAAGTTAACCGTAAAGGGTCGACTACAGTGGCCCTGAAGTACAAATCACAAAACATATCACAAATGCAACAACAATTCATGAAAGACAAGGCAAAGCACAAAACACAAAAAGAAAATGGCATGACACAACAATTCAAAAAGCCATGGCAGATTATAAAACACAACAAGATCCTCACAAACACGTCAAATCACAAAAACACAAGATAAACAATAGTTTGAAGCTGTATCCTACTTGTCTCCATTCACACTCCAGCACAGAGGGGGCGGTGTTGCTGCAGTGAGTCATAAACGTACCTCCAGAAATCATCGGCGGAGGAAGAAAGATAAACGCTAATGGCGTCTCACAGCTGGATGAGCGGTGCAGGGCTCTGAGCTGCAGCCGCAACAGGGCGCCTCTCTCCGGGTACAGTCCGTCAGTCAGTCCGCATCACACCGGTTCATCCAGACTCTTACTTCCGGGGTCCATGAAGAAGTCAGCTGCCGCAGCCGTCAGTTTACTTCCGTATCAAAGATCCTGTCATGATTCGAGTGGGAAGATGAATGACTCGTTTAGAAAAACTGAAGTGAACAGAATAAAAACATGACCAGAGATCCTCGGTTGTTTTGTTTGGGAAGATATTTCACTCCGCTCAAATTCGAGACACCAGATTATTAGAAGTCGTTTTATTTGTATTTAACCAGTTTTTTAAAGTTTTATCTTTGGACTCTTTATTTTTGGTGAATATCACCCACACATACCTTGAAATGACATTGTCTTTTGTTTGGGTTTGTTTTGGGTTTGAAATGTATTTTTTGTTGTATTTTTTGAAAGTTTTTCATTGAATGTTCATGACAACTTAGTGTTTGTTTGATGTTGAAAAATGACCTAATTAAATCTCTACAGCACTGAAGTTTGGCCAAAAGTGACTCAAGTATAAATAAATGCTGAAATTAATAATAAAAGCATAAATACGTGAAAAAATGATTACATTTTGCAATGAAAGATGCTTTTTTCTGTATTTTTACATTTATTTGTTTGGTATATGATATCAATATTCATTGTTATGAATTAATATTATCTATTATAATATTAATGTGCCAACTTTCTCTCCTAAATAATCCAAATTAATTAAATAATTGCATATATTTTGCATCAATCATTTTTTTTACTAAGATGCTATCAACTTTTTTGAATATAATATCTGGAATATCAGTTCCCTGAAAGTTTGACATAGGAACGAGGAGTCTGTCATCTTAACTTGCTCCGTACAGAGACGATCTTCAGTTTACTGTACACCTGAAACGTCACCTGATACCCCGGCAACCAGCAGGTGACAGGAGCGACTGCAGGTACAGGCAGAGTAAACATTGTAGTTTTAAATGAAAGGATAATGATCTGCTGCATTTGTGTGTTCAGTGAGTCAGTGAGTATAGTTATAGCTGCTGCTACAGGTTGAATTTGATTCAAGTAGCTGTGTTACTGAGGGTTACTGTTTCTGATGTGCTGAAGAATGTGATCTACAAAACAACTTGAGGTTTTGATGAGTAAAAAGCATTTTGAGATGTTCTTTCACTGTAGTTGGTAAATATAGATTTCTCAATTGTTTATATAAAATATTAAAAAAGCCAGTGTAACGTCTTCATATTACTTCTCCTCTCTGGCCAACAGTCCCAAGCCTAAATATTTTAAACTCTCAGCACAAAGTGTTCACATTTTGAGAACCTGAAACCAGCTAATGTTTAGAAATGTTGTTTGATAAATAACTTAAATGACAGAAGACATGTTTTCAAACACAGGAAAAATACTCTATGGCATTTTCCATGGCAACTCGGACACATAAGCTTGCTCAACCCAAACCCAACCGACTCAGTTATCCAGACCGGTAGGCCTCCAACCTCCTCCTCTACCTCCCTGACTCTGTCCATCTATCATCCTCTCTCTGATGAGGCCTCTTCTCTGTTTTTCTCCAGTCATTCTGTTTACTGGCTGGATGAGCTGCCACCTGAGAGGACTGGACCCACCACCAAGATACGTACGTTTTCCTTTTCTTTATTTACAACCCAATATCAACTGCTTTTTTGTGATGCTATAACATCTTGTTTTTATTCAGAGTTAACCCCTCGCTGGTCGGAACTATGCAGAAGTAAAAAGCTCCAGACTCAAGTCACGTAAATATAATTAAATACAGTTCTACTGTCACTACTGCACAATACTGCCAATGACTGGCCTTCAAGGTTTTCACCCCCTCTCCTTCATATGTCACAGTAAATCTTGATCTCCCTGTCTCCTCACTTCTTCATTTCCCCTCTTCCCCTCCCTTCATTTCTTCTGCTCTACCCATCCCTCTTTCTTTCCTCCCTCAGACTTTCTCCCATATGGGAGGTGAGTGAATGGGCTCTCAGGGCTGTTCCATCCAAGCGACTGTGTAGCCTGGCTCAGCCTAGGGCCCCTGCAGCTGGCTGGGAGCCAGAGCGTCCTCTGCTGGTTCCTGTGAGTAACACTCACACACTCACACACACACACACACATTGGCGTCACAATGTGTTTTAAACCCCACATCCTGCTGTGTTATTGACAGTATGAAAACTGAATTCAAATACTCCTTTTGAAATTGTTTTGAAGTGTACTACAATACACTTTACTGTATAGTACTTATTTGTGTATTCTAGTACTTTATTGTGTATCATTTACTAAGGGAGTATGTATAGTTTATATTATATTTATCTTCATTACCTTCTATTTTGAGCAATTTCAATTCTTCTACTTCTCTATCTATCTATATATCTGTCTATCTATATATCTAACTATCTATCTATATATCTAACTATCTATCTATCATCCACCCACCTACCTACCTACCTACCTTCCATGTGATGTGATTATAGTTAAACAGAGCGACGCAGACGGCGGTGGCCTCTGCCAGGGTTTCCGTGCTTGCTGAGCCAAAGCGACGGCAGGTTCAGGAGAACTCAGGCCACAAATCAAAACCTGTATCCATGACCCACCTGCCCTGCAGAGTGTCGGCACACATAGAGCTACTTTCCAGTGAGTTTCCATTGCACAGTGATTCAGATTCATTTAGCTCTGTGGTGGTATTTCTAACATTGTGGGAAATACACTTGTTTGTTTTGTTGCAGAGAGTTAGATGAGATAAAAACACCATGTTCAACCAGGCGATGGTTTACTTAGCTTAGCACAAAGGCTCGAACCAGAAGGAAATAACAACATCTGCTGTAGCAGCACATCTAAAGCTAAAGTTATCTCCTGTTCTTTCCATATAGAAAATGAAGGCTAGCTGTTTCCCTCTATTCCCAATCATTATGCTAAGCTTGGCTAATGGTCTTCTGGCTGTAGCTTCATATTAAACGGACTGATAAGACAAATGGTTCTTGTTCTCAACATCCAGCTTTCTGAATTTCTACATTTTTGAAAAAATGATTGCTTCTGATCTCAATTTCTTTTCTTTTCAGCCCCCAAGCATGAACACCCCAGGTTTAAAGGGGGTCGTTCAGTGTGCTGGCCCGTCTCCAGAGCGGCGAGAAGCTGCGTGGCCAGTGAGAGACTTCTCGAGCTGTCCGTTCCTAAAGAGAGGAAGGCTTTATTCGAGGGATACGACCCATATATCGTTAGTCGGGCGGCACGCTCTGCCAGCCCCTCGCCACGCATACAGGAACTCTCGTTGCCTCTGCCTCGCAAATGTAGCTCAAAGTAGTCATGGGTGGATAATGGAATACAACAAACAGCTTGGAAAAAATGTGTCCGAGACTAATCTGATCTCGTTCACACCCTGAAACCACATCCTTCATTTCTTGTTTGTTTTTCTACATGTTGTTGTAACGAGGCACACGGCCAGTGAATCAGATGTGAGATGTTGAAATAAGAATGAGACATTTCAGAGAGCAAAATGAAACAAGGGCAAAATTACAGTAATCCATGATGTGACATTTTGTGTGTGTAACTGTGTGCAGTGTTCAGAGTGGAGAAAGTTAAAGGCACTTTTTTAAAAAAAATTTACATAGTTCAGTCTGAGGTTTTCTAAGTCTGATATCGTGGACTGTGGAGTGTGGTTACCTATCCTGTGCCCCTTGGGACCTGAAAGTTCTGACTGAGTTTGTACAAAAAAAATTTGAGCTGAGCTATCAACTTGATATCAAAAAATCTTTATCCGAGGTTAAGTCGGAAGATATGTGTCTTTAGTCTCAGGGGAAGATGTGTCTGCTGTCCTGGTGTCCATAGGGAGCTTGTTCCACCATTTAGGAGCCATTTAGGAACCAGGACAGCAAACTGTTGTGATTTTGTTGAGAGGTTAGCTCGCAGTGAGGGAGCAACAAGCAGATTGGTAGACGCAGAGCAGAGTGTAAAGGCTGGGGTGTAAGGTTTGACCATGTACTGGATGTAGACTGGACCCGATCCGTCCACAGCACGGTACGCAAGTACTAGTGTTTTGAAACGGATGCGGGCAGCCACTGGTAACCAGTGAAGGGAGCGGAGGAGCCGAGTAGTGTGAGTGAACTGAGGCTGGTTAAAGACCAGACGAGCAGCTGCATTCTGGATGAGTTGCAGAGGTCAGATAGCACCTGCACCAGCCAGGAGGGAGTTGCAGTAGTTTAGGCGTAAGATGACTGGAGCCTTCTGAGTGAGAAGGTGACGTATTCTCGTGATTTTGTGCAGCATGTATCTACACAGGGTTGTTACAGTAATGTTGGTGATAAAGGAAATTTGACTGTCGAGGGCCACACCCAGGTTCCCAGCAGTCTGTAGGGTTACCATGGAATTGTCAAACTAGTCAGGTCATGGGTGGGAGAGCCATTCCCTGGAAGTAAAAGTAGTTTGGTCTTGTCCAGGTTAATTTTAAGGTGGTGTGCAGACCTCGACTGAGAGACATCAGTCAGGCAGAGCTTTGTGCTGCTACCTGTGTGTCAGATTGGGGAAAAAAGAAGATTTGTTGGGTGTCATCTGTCGTCTGATGATGTGTGGATGAACTTTCTTCTTTCTTTCTTTTTTTCATTCTCAATTTGTCACTTGGTGTCCTGAAACGAAAAATGAGAATAATTGTGAAGACATGGCGAAACACTGAATATTCTGGTGTCGAGATTTGTGAATCCATTGCAATAAAAGTATTTACAAACCTGCTGTGTCTGAATGATCTATTAAACCAAATCACACACATGTGGACTGTTCTACCTAATGTCTTTTGACAAGTAACACATAGATTACAAATGTTCAATCATGGCTCTTTGTGTGTGTTTGAATGTGCACACTAGGTAACTAAACTGTGACCGTTATCTTTAAACTACCAAATTCAGTAACAGTAAATCAGTGCCTTAAGGAAGTTAACAAATGTACAATCTTGAGTTCTGAAGTCCTGCCACTAAAAGTACCCAGGCTCATTTGGTGGAGTTGTCCATGACTCCTCCAGGGGACCTCGAACCCTGGGTTGGGAAGCACATGCAGAGCAGATATGGGCGTGTTTATTTAAAAAACTGCTGAGAGGCAGCAGCAGCTCTCACTCCAGGATTCTGTGTGGATGGAGTCCAACAGACGCACGTGTTGTTGAGGCTCTAACTTCGCACCGGTAAGTGCACTAGACTTTGACTCATCTGTTTCTATTTGTGTTACAACTGAAACTGTTGATTAGTTTTAGTTTATTCTGTCCAACAAATAAGAAATCAACAAGGAACAATAACTGTAATTCCCAATATAGTCTATGGTCTTTATTCCTTTGAGGTTCTACTTGATTACATTCATGATTGAATAAAACTGAACCAAAAAATAATACGTGTGTGTACTTATTTGAACATGCTTTGTTTTACGATTTGTACTTTGTGTGCTTATGTCACAGTGACACTTATATTATATTATTATATTGTGTGCACAAGATAACAACATGTGTGCACAACAACATTCTCCTCACAAGTTAATTATCTAGTCTGCACAAGATAATAAAGATATTACAGTAAATGTGCCTCAAGGAAATAAATATAATAGGGTTATTTTTTTCTCTCTGGGCACCAGTTAATTATTAATAGGCAATATTGATTGATAACCAGTTGTCCTGTATTGCTAATAGGCTATTGGCAGCATGGATTTGATCCCTCATATGTTATTTGATGTAAAGTGAACACACTTGTGTTGTGGACTGTCGGACACACAAATTATCACAGATTTGATGATGTCACCTTCAGCTTGGGAACAGTTGACATAATGATAACAGGTGATACAACTGTCCTGCATGTAAACCTATCTCTAGTATATTATGGAAGTAATGCGCACATTTGATGTTGCGTACATGAGTATAATCATTTATATGTTGTTAATTCTTTTTCATTCATGCAGTGTGTGGTCGTGCTGCTGTGCTAGAGTTCTGCAAAAAGGCACGACAATAACAAAAAATTAATAATAATAATTATTGTTATTATTACTATTGTTATACTTTATATTGCAGGATATATATTTTCAATTTTTACTACTAATACTGTTGTGTGAGCTCATGTTCAGCTACAAATGGACTATGCTGTTGTTTGTACTTGGAACACTCAGATTCTGAGAAATTGTGTGTCTGTGACGAGGGAATTCCTCTGGCTTGTTGATGTACTGAAGAAAAGAAAAAGTTATTCACTTCAGTTGTAGTAGTAATTTCCACTGGTGTTTTGTTATTATTAATATTATCAAAACTTTATTCATATAGCATCTTCTTAAAAATGGTTTACAATGTTTTCTGAAAGACAGGCACGGGATATTAAGGGGGTGATTGCAAAAAGGCATTCACATTAATAAAAGCAAAAACATCATGAGATTATTATTACAAATAAAGATAAGTGGAAAAATAAAAGAAGAATATGATGTTAAATAAAATCAAATAAATACGAATAAAAGGGATGAAGCGTAAAAATACATGAAGACAACATAACATAAAGTCTGTATAAATGGATTCAAAAGAAGTCACTGAATCTACAAACCTTATCTCAGGTCGTGCCAAAGCCTGATGTCAGTGTGTTATAAACCATTTATCAAATGTGTATATAGGCCTTCTGCTAATCAGTGTGAAATAGTGGGACCATCCACTATCACCATCACAACCACCTGCTCTGCAACGAGCTAGATCCAGTGTGTAAGATTCAGGTGAAAGGAAACTATTGGCAGATATTTAATGTAGAATAATCCTCATGATGTTTTCACTAGTTCATTTCATCTAAATTGTCTGAATTGTAGTTTTCTTTACCCCAGAAAAGACCCTTTATATCGAAATACTTTATATTTACATCGAGGGGACCCTCTCTACGGAGGCCGCCATGTTTTTTACATGAGTCCAGACTGGACAAACTAAACAACTTTTGAGTTTTTGTGACAATTAAAGGCTGCAACAGGTTCTTTTTCATGTTTGGAAGGAGATGGTGAGGTGAGGGGTGTTCAGCTGCAACATGCAACTTCAACACTAGATATCACAAAACTCTACACACTGTACCTTTAACATCTATAAATAAAACAGGGTGTATTGCATATGTCTGTCGTTATGTTTCACAATCTGGCTTTAAATAGATGAATCTGAATCACAATCAGAGTTTATAGCCACAGTTTGCACATACAGTGAATTTGCTGTGGTATGTTTGTACATAAGCATAAATATGGAAATATAAAAAAGGGAACAGTATATAAATGTTATAAACACTATGTACCTTTCACACTCTCAACACGTTCCTTGAAACGTTTCAAATATTGAAATGGCGCCAGGACATGGTCCTTGGTTTCATGGTCTGAAAATGTTGTCAATAAACCTGTTTGACGTCCGACACTATTTCAAAGAAGTGATGAAATGTGGTTTAACCACTAAATGTTTGTCTTATTCCTGTTTTTGTACAGTCTTCGAGGTGAGTTGCTGTTAGTGTGATGGAACACTGAGGAGTACTGCAGTGAGAAGACAGACTGGGCTCATGGAGCGGAGGTCGGCTCTGGTGTGGATCTGTCTGCTGGGGGCTGGACTCGCCCTGGGTAACGCTCAGTGTCCCCTCCATCTTAATCAAGACTCAGAAATGATGATATTTGTGTTCCGTGGTCGGATGATATAAGTAATTGGATCTGGATGATGAATCAATAGTTAAATTAGATGATGTTACCAAGCATGAGAAACTTTATACCTCAATTGGGCAATGTGTGGTTTGACCATTTATTTCAGAAACCTCTTTCCAGACCCTGTGAGAGTCATCATTCTTATCAGTCTGTAGAGATTTGTAGTGCAAATGTGCTAAATCAGGTTTTGGGATTTAATAACCAGAAACTGTATATGAAGATGGACGACATGACAGCTCCTTGAAAGTATCTTGATGTCAGCAGAACAGGTCATAAACATCTGCCTCCATCATGCTAGGCTGATGGGACCAAATAAAAAAGTTAAAGCACATGTGAAATTAGTTTTTCTCATCACACTGATGTTTGTTCGAGTGCTCGTGTTTCTGTTCATTTTGGTTTAAATCAGTTATTTAAAGACATCTACTGTGCAGACTCACTGATAATCTGTCCCATTGCTGCCCAGAACATGTGATTAGTTCTGAAAATTATCTCAAACCTTATCAGCAAAAAATCACACAAAAGTTCTCAAGAATCAAACGTTTCCTGGAAAGATACGTCCAACTGACAAAAACGCAGCAACCGGGGACAGTTACGTTGTTTTCAGGTGTCAATGTTTTATTGGGTTTTTCAGGCAGGATACTAGTTCTACTTGTTTCTTTCCCGCTAATTGTCCAAAGTACCTCTTCTACTCTTTTCTGTAATCTACTACCTGTCTCTTGCATGCGTTCGTACATCTGTTCAAACCTCTGCTTCCCCACTGCATTCAGAGGATAAATTCAGCCTCAATCCCCTCTGTCTTTAACCTGACGTTTAAAAAAACCACACAACAAAACAAAAGCTCAGCCTCCAGATTCACTGAGCACAATCTGCCCTTTCCTGCTGTTAACTACGGCCTCTCTCCATCTCTAGTCCTGCATCCAGCCTCGTCCGTAACGACCTCCAAGGCCCTTCCTCGACCTCCGCGGCTGCTTGGCTGCGTGTTTCTGAATCAGGCTAACGTCACCTGCCGCTGGGAGGCTGGAGACGCCTCGGCAACACACTACACCCTGCAAATTCAGAAGAGATCTGGGTGAGACTTAACACAACCATAATAAATTAAAGGTCACACTCAGTGAAATATGACTTAACATCAGTTCATCCACATTTGTTGAATATTACATTATGTTTTAGCGCTGTTTATATTTTGTATTGATGTCGGGTGATTGAGGTGTTTTATTTCACAATAGGTGAATAAAAAGGTGCATTTTAATAATCCAGATGAAGGATAATTTAGCCAATGTTGTTGCCGAATGTGTAAATTAAATTGAGTTTGTGCTACAAATCATTTTCTAAGAGTTTGTGTCAAAGGGGCAGAATTATTTATGGTCAGTAATGATATTTACAAGAGAGGGGAAGACAAACTCGTTTCATTTCGTCTCATTATTGCGGCAAAATTCAACCGAAACAAAAACAACAAAAAAAAGTTTCCATTTCACTTGTCTGCTGCAGCTGTGAGTAAAGTTCAGACTCTGCAGAGCTGAAATAAGCATTTTTTATTAAGTGGCTGGTCAGAAGGAAACAGACAAAATGACCTCAACCATAAATGATGTTTTCATCAGCATTGGTCTGTCTGTCTGTCCGCAGCGTTACACAAAACGATTGGATTGATTACTATGAAACTTGTATGAGTCAGGACATTGTGAGGACATTGAGGGTTAAGACTTGGTTTTAGGGTTAGCATCTTGTTTTGATGGTTAAGGTTAGGGTAAAGGGCTAGGGAGTGCAATATGTCAATGAGTGTCCTCACAACTATAAAGAGACGTGCGTGGGTGTGGGGCTGTGTAGAGCTGTGGCCTTGACAAGAAACGTCACTCTGAAGACGTTCACCTGCACCACGATTGACACCAGCTGCACGGCGGATCTCGGCAAATCATCCGTGAGGTTCATCTTTTGCATCATCATCACAGCTCATGGCCGCAGCAGCAACATATCGTCCGATCCTCGCTGTCAGCCCGGGAGGACTGAAAGTGAGTGTGTTGTGCTTCTCCAAACACGAACCCTCATGTTTTGGCCCCTAATGTTTTTCCACCTCTTTCTACATTCATCAGTAATGCTGCCTCCGGCCATTTTGAACAGCGTGAAGCCGGTGGATGAGACGCCTCAGTGTCTGCACGTGATCTGGAGTCGCACCTTGTCTGTGTTTCCTGTGTCTGACCGTGAAATCAAGAATGGGACCCTGAATTCCCAAATTGAAGTCACAGCAGAGGGGCAGGTCTGTCACTCACTAATACTCACAAAACAGCATATAACTGCTGGAGCATTTCAAAACATCCCTCATCACTGCTGCTTAAATCCCACAACATCATTTCTCTCTTTCCTCACTGCCCCTTGTTTTACAATCACCAAATATTTCTCATAAGATGAACAAAAGGCTGCAAGGCTTTCTTGCAGTGGGTAATACAATTCTTGATATTAAATTTGTTCCACAGACTTGATGAAACAGAATAAATGAGACGATGAGATCCTCACTTTCCTCTTTCTCTTCCCTGTTCAGCTCGATATCCAGGTCACAAATGTGACAGTGAGAGACTACAGCTTCCCAGTTTGTCTCCTCAGACCTGGCACTTCGTACACCGTCAGACTCCGTCATAGTTACCGGGGCCCAGAGAGTCCCTGGAGCCCGTGGAGCAACGCGCAGCAGGGAAGGACAGCAGAGGACGGTGAGAGGACGCAGAGTTGACAAACGTTTAGTTGGTTGAATCTTTGTTTTTGGTGTTCCTGTGGGAGAGAGAGAGAGCAGACATGCAGCAGAATTAGATATGAATGTAATTATACTTTAATTTTTCTCCATTCATCCATTTTCTGCCATGTATCTGTATGGTATTTATGGATTTACCCAGGGGTCTCCTCTCATTCGTACCTCCATGACACCCTGATCAGATGCCTCTACACCACCTCAACTGTCTCCTTTAATTGGAAAGAAACTATTTCTGGAGCCTCTGAGCTGGAGTTTGTCTGCTTCTCCAACATCCACATCAACCACAGCCAATTTATAAGTATACAAGTATAAACCAGATGGGGGAACCATTATCACCCCTCCACAATTCAAGACCAAGAGCCAGTTTCCAGGTACCACCCTCGACCTCCAGGTGTCACTGAGGAGGAGTACCATCCAAAACAATGTCCAGAGTCCTTCAGGAATCCTCAAATTAACAATGAATAAATCTAATGTATGGTTTTCTTTTGGTGAAAGTAGCGATGACACTACAGGGAGATGTTTGTTCTGTGTTAACTGAATCTACTTCCCGCTGCTGTTGAAGGCTCATGTGAACGTTCTTTTCTGGTTTTACTTGTTTCCTTGATGTCTTTGTGTTCCCTCCACATGTTTTTCTTTCCCCTCCCTTCTGTCACCAGCTCCATCTGCAGCTCCAGCGTTCTGGAGGCAAGTGAAACAAACAGACAGTAAAGGGTGGAGACTCACCTCGCTGCTTTGGAAGGTGTGTTTCTACTCACATCGTATTTTTCTGGCTCAGGGTTTGAGATTGAGAGATGTAGAAATTAATTTGATTTGATTACCTTTTTAAATCACAATCTACTCCTGAATCATCCCTAATTTGTTTTCATGTCTCCATGGAATTACTCAATCATTGTGCAACAGTTTGGCCTGAGTGGAGACATCTGGTTTTCTCTTTTCTCTCTTGGGTTCAGGCTCTGCCTCCCTTTCTGGCCAATGGCAGACTTCTCTTCTATAATGTGACTTGTCAGACAGAAAGTGCACAAATTCTGAATGATCGAGGCTCCTGCAGAGATTTGCACCAAACACGTACGTCCTGTACCTTTCTCCTTCCTGCTGAATGCTGCTCCTGTGCCCTGACGGCCTCCAACTCTGCTGGGACCTCGCCAAGGGCCCAAATATGGCTCCTCGGAGCCTCTGAGACAGGTACGGCCTCAATCGTCCTCCTCATGGATGAAGTCATAACGTGAAAGGTGCAGTGATAGAAGAAATACAGAAATCTCCTTATCACCATCTCCTTCGATTGCTCGGTAGAGCCACCGTCCCCGAGACAACTCACTGCCCGTCCACTGGATGACAACAGTGTAAACGTGAGCTGGACGGCTCCAGCCAAACGATCAGTGAGTGGCTTCATCTTGGAGTGGTTTGCTGTCCGAGACGAAAACAGCAGCGTCCTACACTGGGAAAGATTGAATAGTTCTCAGACAACATTTGTCATCACAGGTAAAACAATACGAGCTTCATCTGTAAAATATTTTTGCCTTTTTGGAGCTGAAATTATGAAGCAATTAGTTTTTAACTTCTGTGCATATCGACTGATGTGTTTTTTTTATCCTTGTCTTGTTCAGAGGGAGTAAAGCCGATGGAGCGTTATGCTGTTTCTGTCAAAGCGCTGTACAGTGAGCGATGGGTGGGAAAGAACAGGACACTTCACATGTATACACGCCAGGCAGGTACGTGATCTAACTGACTGTGTTATATCCTGCTCGAACCGCTGCTTCAGAAAAGCCCAGTGTTTGTTTTAGAACAAGTGACAGTGATATCGTGGTGTGAAGTATATATATTTGCCTTTAAAGATAAGGCTGGCAATCCTTTATATTTGTATAATTGTCAACAGACTGATCAAACAACATGTTAGTCTTTTTTCCTTCTCTTCTCTGTCAGAAAAACTGGAGCCCAACCGATGTGTATTTTTAGAGACGCGATGCCAATACCAATATTAAGGACAAAAAAAAACTACAATAACAAAATATCAGCAGATATTGGCATCATTTCTGAGATTATCAGAAACGCAAGACAAAAATAATGTGATTGATTATAGATATAAAGAAAACACAAGTAAATATCTTTGTAAACATTGTATTATTTCATTCAAACAGCTAAAAAAATTAATAATAATAACAAACTACAATTTATATAATGACACCATTTCCAACAGCCAAAGCATTTTTCTGCATAAACATCTTAATGTCGGTGAACATAAACACCATTTTGGATATGAAAGGCTCACATCGGCTGATTTTTACCAGCCCACTGATAAATCTGCAGGGCTCTAGAATAAACAACTCAAATTATAACCTTTTTTTTTGTAAAAAGTTCAACTCTGATATCTGTTTTACACATTAGATCAACATATCATATCTCTCTCTGATCCTTACGAAGACCAATTCACTGTGCTTTATGCATGACAAGGTCAATGTTACCTGTTTGTAAAAAGCATTGTACAAACAGGACAGAAATGTCCCAGCGTACCACAATTGAAAATTATTAAAGAATTTATGTTACAATTTCAGCAAATTAGAGAAGGAGAGCTCGGATCCTTACATTACTCATGTTTATCAAAGTCAACATTTCAACCACTAGATGGAATAAAAGGCCAGTATTAATTTACACTTACTAAAAAGCTTTACCATTTGTTTTCATCAGTCACGTTTTATTTAAAGAAGATCCAAATACACATTCGCCTGGATCAAAGTCTTTATAACAACTAGGTTTCTAAATGATGATAAGGACTGTGCTCTACAAACAGCGTAGGCGTCTGTGTTCACAGTAAAATGAGGCCACTCTCCAGTCAACTCCAGCGTCCTGCTGTTTTCATTAACAGCATTAGTTACACACTGGTAAATGTTTTACATGTGTATCAGGAATAGTCAGATTTAATCAGACTGTGTTTACTTGTGTTGAAATGCAAGGGATCAGGCACAGCTGTCGGGGTCACATGACATGAAAAACCAACATGACCCAAGCTGTGGAGCTGGTTTAACGCTGTCATTGAAAAACAAATGGCTCATATACACAACCACGGCTGATCACGCACATAGTTGGTAGTAAGACTGAAATAATGATTTAAAGCAACACTAAGTAATTAGTAACAGCGCCCTCTGCAGCCACACATGATTATTATTCTCTCTTTTCCGAGCAACAAACTCATTTGCAGCTGTTATCTTAAGGGATTTTCCGTCAAAAAGTAAGTTTTAAACTTTTAAGATGAACAAGCTTGAAGATGACAGAGCAATGATCATCAGGAAAAATTTTAAAAAGTTAATGCAGATTTCATACTTATTGACACATTTGAACCAATCACCATCAGTTTCTTTCTTCTGTATCTTAGCTGCTTGAAGTTACTTGTATTTTGAGATAAAAATGTTGTTTTTAAAAAGAAGGATTATGCTCTTCTGTCTTCTGCATCTTGGCCGCTTGCTGTACTTGACATCCAGACGAGGACACTGTTCTCTGTTGCTGCAGCTGCATGTGGAGTGCACCATTAGAGGCTTTTTATATGTGCACGACAAATGGAAGTCAGTTATAAATGGAGCCATCAACTGTAGCATGTCGGTCCAGTATAAAAGCTGATGACCTCACTCTCACACTGATAAACATCTGTCTATGTTTGCCTGATGGTGCCGTCCCAGTTATAGATCCTGAGACTGGAGAGGGTCAAGTGACGTTAATGTTTTTCACAAGCATGAGACGAAGAAGAAAATGACAAACAGTCGAACATTTAACTGCGTAGCTTCTGTCCTGGTGTTTGCATAAACTTTACTGTCGATGATTTGACATAAATCTGGATTTTAAATGTATCCCTCCATCTGTTGCCGTGGGTAATGATGCAATCACACGATCAGTAATCACCCAATCATATGAACGCTGGACATAGTTTCAATATCTTGACTTTTTAAATTTTTTTATATAAAGCGTAAGTGCTTGGTTACTTTATCTCCCATAATCAAATCTGTCCTCAATCATCATCACCCCTCTTGCTTATATCTCTCTGCCTGTGCAGCGCCATCAGCTGGTCCTGTTGTGGAAGTGCAGCAGATTTATGGGGGCAGAGTGGAGCTCAGCTGGAGTCCTGTGCCTGTGGAGCTGCTTCGAGGATTCATCCGCAACTACACACTCTACTACACCGCTGCAAACCAGCCGGCCAGGAGTGAGTGATACGTTTACATATGATATGAAGTTTATTTAAGTTTATGAAGACAAACCAGCACAGTGCACAACAGAGCGTACATCTCATAGAGCAAGGTTTTATTATAATCTGTTTCTGGATAGATTGATTCAGGGTTTTTTTTCACTTTCAATAACATGGCAGGGTCGGGCGTCAACCCTGGTGGAGGTATATGCTCCATATTTGATTCCACCCATGTTCTTCATCACGTATTGCCAATAATTGAAATTCTAGAACTAATTATTCAGTTCTAATCATCTTTTTTATCCAGGTGTGTTAGTACCTGGTAACGTTTACCGTTACACCCTGGAGAACCTGTCACCCGGAAACTGTGACATCTTTATGCAGGCCAACACTGACGCTGGTACTGGAGCAGCTGGGCCCATTGCTAATGTGCATATAGGTGAAGAAGAAACACACACACACACATTCACATATAGAATCACTAAAAATGATACAGCTTTAACGTAACTATACGTGTGTGTGTGTGTGTGTGTGTAGGCTCTGAGGAAATCTCAAAGATTATGTATGTCATCCTTTCCCTCATGGTGACCGGCACGCTCGTACTGGCACTGATGGTGTGCCTGGCACAAAATAAGTATTCTTAAATACTTTTTAAAATACTTTTACTATTTTGGAATCAGTCAATCTTTTTATGAAATATATACTTTTTTTCTCATTCAGTAATATTTGCAATTACCTGCGCAGGATAAAAAGGAAGCTGTGTCAATTCGTCCCTGATCCTTCCAACAGCAGTCTGGCTCAATGGATCCCAAAGACCACCTCAGAGGTAACCTGATTATTTTCCCATCAGCCCGTCTGTTCCCTGAATCTGTGGGTAAAGTCAATATTTTTAATCAATAAATCAAAAACACAATGAATTGATCCTAATAACACAGTGTTTTTTCACAATGATGGGCACCATGTTTTATTTTAAATACATTTGTGGTAAATTATTTAGCCTTTTGAAAAGTTAAAATATATATTGTATATTGTATAATATATTAAAAAAAACTCTATATTGTATATTGATAGAGTTTTCTATTATTTTTAATTGATTGTTTCATATTTTTATTTCAAGGTTATAGAACAGTCAAACTTAAAGGTTCAGTGTGTAGAATTTATCTCGTGGTGAAATTTCATGTTGCCGCTGAACACCCCTCACTCACCCTCACCTTCCAAACAAGACCTGTGGTAGCTTCAGTTTAAAACTCAGAAGATGTTTAGTTTGTCCAGTTTGGACGACTGTAAAAAACATGGCGGCCTCCGTAGAGTGGACCCCCTCCTGATGTAAATATAAAGTATTGAAATATAAAGGGCTCATTCGAGGGTAAAGAAAACAACATTTCGTACAATTTAGATGAAACACACTAGTGAAAACATCACTAGGATTATTTTATATTTAATTTCTGCCAGTAGATCCCTTTCACCTAAATCTTACACCGGACCTTTAACAGTGAATCTTTAATTTCATTAAAGTTTACATTTCAATCACTAGGTGACAGCAAAAGCTTTGCCTCATTATTTTCTCCTTGAAATACATAAACTGAAGAAGTGTTAAACTTGTACCATTGTTTTCATGAATATACATGAAAATATAACACAATATGTGCACAACTTAAAAATCGACAAACGCTGTTGTAGCTTTGGAGACATTAAGATTTTCAAACATTAAATTTAAGAACCTTGCTTTTGATCTATTTTTCCGTCTCCTCAGAGTATGAAGCAGCCTTCGGATGCAGAGAGGACTCAAATCGAAAACTCTGAGGTTATCTTGTCTGGTGAAACTGAGCCTCTCAACTTTGACCCGAGTCAGACCACAAAGAATTTCATGATCTGTAATCAAACATATTCATCTCTTCTGGATCCTTCTGGGTTTCATCTTCCTCAAAGTGTCCCGCTGTCTGAGAAGTTGTTCAGCAGGGGCCCATTCAGAAAAACCTTCACCACTGATCTCTCCCCCTGCCCCCCCCTCTACTCCAATGTGGTCTTCTCTCACACTCACAATCCTGCAGCACCCATCCTGTCCCCTTCTCCTCCCCAGTCCCGTGATGGGCGGCACGTCAGCATCGGTGATGTGAAGCTGCCGCTCGGTGGAGACGGTGCAGCTTCACCTCAGCACCAAAGCTCCACTATCTTCTCCGGCAGTATGTCTCCATCCTCGGCCTCGCAGTCGCACCCTGCTGACGTCACTTCATCCAAACACCTCCGTCCTCAAAGCCACTGCACCTCGGGCCTGTCGCTCCAGCCTGACACCTTCACCCACCCCAACTCTCCCGCTGACAACGTTTCCTCTCTACTTCCTCTGGTTTTGGTGGATTTCTCCTACTGTTCTGTGGTGTGTGATAATCACTCATCCCCTGCTGTAAATCCATGATGTGTGCTTATAATATAAAAATGTATATTGTCTCTTGTGGCTTTCACATTTTCTCACGATGCCCTGTGAAATGCTTTACTGTGTAAAATGTGTTTCAAAGTGTCTTTAAAAAATGTGTACGTCCCCTTTGACTTATGAAAACCATCAGTTGATCATAACTTTCGAGAAGAACGATGCTGCTTTCATGTCTGGACAGTAAATATAAATACCGAGCTTAGTCTAGCATTTAGCATTAGGAAGCAGGGTGAAACAATTAGCATGGCTCTGTCCAAATGTGGTGCCGGCGACTTTAAATTAACATTTTAGGTTTTGTTTGTTAAATGTGGAAGAAATGTTAAAAACAACACAATTGGAGATAAATTGAGATTAGCTCTTTTTAGTCTTTAGGCTAAGCTAACTAGCTGCGAGTTGTACCGACTTGAGAAGTGTCTCAACCCTCTCATCTAATTCTTCTCAAGAAAGTCAGAAGAATGTTTGACAGACATTGTGTTATTTGTACTTGAGTAATGAAGGTTTCATAATGTGTTTTTGATGTTATACCTCTATACACACACACACACACACACANTATAATTATTCTACAAGTTTGAGCCGTACATTGCTGGTGAATGTAAAAACGCTGCAGTTAAAGACGAGTGTAACTTTGATGAGACCAAATCAACACAGCAAACTTAAGCTGATTAGATTCTGTTAACAGCTCTACTTCTTTATATTCGTTCACTTTCACTGAGTAGCAGCTGCTTCTCTGTACTGACACAGTTTATTCTGAGTTTTGCCTTCAGCACTTGACATATTTGTTCGGTTATGGATTAACAGTTTGGACGGGGACTTCCTGGCCTCTTTGGAGTTCTCTCAGTTGGCCGATGCTGCTTACTGCAATTCAGTCGTACCACTTTCGTTGTTGTGCTACAAACTGTGATTACTCCAGAGCTAAACGTCTTTTCAGTTTATATTATTTATACATTTGAGAATGTGTCCGTTAATGTATCAGCAGCTGTTGCAACATTAAAACAGAACATGCTGGGTGAAGATTCGGTGTTTGGACTCATTTCTCCAACAGAAGTGAACTAAAAGGTTTTTGCTGCACATACCTTGTCTTCTCAAAACAACAAAAAAGTGTCACTAATAATGTGAACAATGACTGTGACAGTTCTTTTCACGTGTTCTAGTGAAGCATGATGACTGTTTACATGAACTTCACTGTGACTACTTGTATGAAAATAATCTATGGAAGCCTAATCCTGCAAAAATCAGAAATGGAAAATTATAAGTACCTAGTACTAACAAATAAATCAATCCTGTTTTGGTAAATCTGAAAAATATATGTATATAGTGAGTGTAACTATTGATATATGGTGTATAATATTAAAGGTCTCATCTGTGATGGAGAAAACTAACAATAAAAAGTTGAATGACCAGTGGGATCAAAGTATTTGAAAGGTACTCATAGTATTGATTAATTCCTTTTACAGACAGTCATCAATCATCAATTCCAGGGTTTATGTCCCTGTTTGGGAAGATACCATCCACCAAGAGGCTATGGGAATGATTAAAAAAGAAAATACTACGTCAAAGTTTGGACATATCAGGTCAGCTTTGGAGACTTTTTATGTCAGAATTTTAAATTGAAAACTGATGCAGAGTCAGAATCATGAGATGATCTAACGTTTGTACAGTTTTTAAGTGGTAACTAGAGCCACAGGATTTAGTCTCAATCCAAACATACAGTGGGAGTAGCCTTCAGTCAGCTTTTGTGCCAAATGGAGAATTAAAATCCTTCATTTTAGGCTCAGTTTCATTCACTGGTTTTAAATCTCCACCGACTCTCAGGTTCAGGCTGTTCAAGGTGAGTTGTAACGTGTTGTTGCCTTTGGCCACAAAGTTAAGTACGCAGTGGAGACGGAAATTTTTCATTTCACTGCTTTCAACTGATTCAAAATCCAGAGTCCGAAACATAGAAAGAGAAAGTGAAAAGAAGTTGGTGTGTGTGTGTGTGTGTGTGTGTGTGTGTGTGTGTGTGTGTGTGTGTGTGTGTTTGTGTGTGTGAGTCTACTTCTATGTCTATATTTGCAGGACATGTTGGGAAACATTGTTATGTGACACCATCAAATCTCTATTTTCTCATGACTGTTTTGAATGCTGTTTTTTAGTTGGTGAGTCATTCCTTGATTTTGATCTGTCACTGGTCTGTTGCACTTCAATCTGTCCAGGTTCTCACTTTCTGACACACCTTTAAAAAGACAACTCAGGTATAACTCATGTTGTGGGGACCTTAATCTTTTCAACGCACTCACTTTATGGGAACTTGTCTTAAAAATAAAATAAAGTCCCCATACTGTAAATGATTTAAGATGACGACATGTTTTAAAGTTAGGCTTAGGTTAGTCTGAGGTTATGTCTAGATTATGCTTAGGTCCAGGTTTGGTTTAGGCTATAGTTAAGCTGAGGGCTGGGGACTATAGAGCAATTATCCAGCAAATCACTGTAAATCAATGGGGGCACGTGTGTGTGTGTGTGTGTGTGTGTGTG